TTCTTTCTCCTAACAAAAAGGAACTTGCTGGTGATTATAGGAGTGAGTGAGGAGGGGGAGGAGGCACGAGGCCCGCACCATGCCGAAAAGATCATGGTGGGGTTCATTGAATGGAACTGATGAACTCGCTCCTGTTTGCCCAACTTTCATCACGGTGGCGCATCACATGATTGTATTGTATCGTCACCATCTTTTGCGAGAGACATCGTATCTATCCTCTCCTTTTGAGATGTTCTTGTTGGGGTTCTTCAAAGAGGGTTTGATCTTGTCTCTCCCCTGTCTATCCTACGCATGTGTCGTGTCTTCTCCACCTGATAAAAGGGGGACCCCACACCTCGAAAGGGTCCTTTGGGATTGACCGTTGCAATCGCCGGTCTAAAAGCATTTTTCGGAAAAATATTTTTTTCAATTTTTGGTGTTTGGTTAGTTTAGAAAAATGAGTCCATGGAAAATATTTTTATAGTTAATAGAAAATCTATACTTAAAATTAGGAAAATGATTTCCTCTTTAAAAAATCGGAAATCATTTTCTAAAATATGACTAGGTATTGGCGCTTTGACCCAAAACTCTACGCTCGGATACAGAGACTCCAACATTGATCCCTGAGTCTCCAGAATCCAAGACTAGGTCTAGCGCTCGGTCCCGGGTCCATTGAGGGCGGGCATGTGAACCCGGCGCCCGCACTCGGGTCCATTGAGGCCTAGCTCGGGACCCCAATGCCTAGGCCTGGGGCCCTCGTGCCCCCTTTACCTAGGTTCATTGAGGCTGGACCTAAAGCCCCACGCTTGTACTTGATGCCCCGGCAACCGATCCTAGGTCTGCAAAGGCCGAATGCAGGATCCTGGTACCCAAGCTTAGATCCTCAACACTTGGGCTCACGTCCACAAAGGCCATACTGGGTCTTCGGCACTCGGGCTCATGTCCTTAATGCCCAAGCCAAGGTCTATTAGGGCCGAGGCCCGGGACCCCGGTGCCTGTGCCTAGGTCCATCAAGGCTCGGCACAGGACCCTAGTGCCCGCGCTTGAGCCCATCAAGGCCAGGCTTGGTACCTAGCGCTTGCTCCCCGATCCATGAAGGCTAGGCCCAGGACCAAGCTGCCCATGCCTCGATCCCTGGTGCTCAAGTCGGGGTCCATTGAGGTTGGATCTTGGACTTTAGTGCCTGTACCCAGTTCCCCCGTCGCCCATTCACAAGTTACTAACACTTGAATAGTGTATATCTTTTAGAAAAATCAAATCAAATTTTCATAGTAAACAACGGAAAATATTTTCCAGCTCATTTCAGATTTCAACCAAATATCGAATATATTATCATTTTTTGAGAAATATTTTCCAGAAATATTACAGTTTTTGCGAAACAAACAGAGTTTTAGATAAGTGGATAAGTATCGTATCTATAGATAACTAGTTTATTGGCCTGAGCCTTGCACGGGCATGTTTGTATTTGGAATAGTGCGAGTATGTCTGTATCCGCAATCTCGAAAACTCCCAATATCGAATTATAATAAGAGGTGAGCTGGGGTTTTACATGATACATACTCAAAAAAAAAAAAAAGATGCCATAACGTCATGGACCATCAGCAAACTCAGATAAAAGATACTTGAATATTCATTTAAATTGTCATGTAAAAGATAAGGAGCTATAGTCCTACAAACTAAAGCTTTTTTATTTAATTTAAAATGGAAATATTGATCGGCTTTGTTGGATCATGAAAGCTATATTAAAAAGCGTGTTTGGAAATGATGCACTAAAATCATAGAAAACATACACATGGTACTATAATAGGCCTCATGGTGGCTCCTCTGGAGTCGTGGTTAGGCCTCAAATGCTCTATTTGGCTAAAATGAAAATTTCAAATTGCACATATATATATGTCATAATTTCCATCGTTGAGCTTTAAAGTTTACAATTTTTGCATCATCTACTTTCAAGACACTAATTGTGCTATACATTGCAGAAAAAATTCATTGAAAGTTCTTAATTTTGCGTCCTAAAATGCATTCTGCTGAGATTTTTTAATGACTGTCTAATCGAGTCTTGAAGTTGTTCTGATAAGTTTAATAATCACTTTTTTCGATTTTGTCATGCATGATAATCCTTAAAGAACACAGTAGCTTTTTCTAGTTGTCGTGTCAGACGTTCCTTGTCCACAAGAGAGAGGCAAGGCAATTAATTCTTGAAAAATGTTAAAGGAGAGCTACTCGACACTTGCTAAATTTTAGGGAAAATTCTAAATAAGGACATGAAGTGTCCTCATTTTCTTAAATAAAGGCCTGAAGTGAACTTTGTGTCAAATAAAGTCATAAAGTGTTCTTATTTTTTCAAATAAGGATTTGAAGTGGATTTTGTTTCAAATAAGGGCTTGAAATTGCCATATCTGTTTCAAAAAAAGACATAGCTTATTGGATGGTCAGGGTATTTTCGTCTTTTACTTTTTTGAATTTTTTTTCTTTTTTCCTTTTCCTTTTTTCTTTCTTTTCTGGTTTTCTTGTTGTTCTTCGCCGATGGCCGGCGGCCGGTCAGCCACCGGCGAAGCCCAGGAAGGGCTGGACGACCCTTGGGCAGCTCGATCTGGCGAGGGCCACCTCGCCGGCAATAGGCGAGGGATGGCCTCGCCTGTGCGAGGCGACCCTCACCCTGGGCGAGGCAACCCACGCTGGCCATGGGCGAGGCGAGCCCTCGTCAAATCTGGGCGAGGGTCGCCTCGCCGGCAACAAACGAGGACGGCCTTGCCTAGGCGAGGCGACCCTCACCCTAGGCGAGGCGGGCCCTTGCTAGATCTGGGTGAGGGTGGCCTCGCCGGCAACAGGTGAGGACGGCCTCACCCACACGAGGCGACCCTCGCCCATGGCCGGCGATGACGGCCTCGCCAGCAACAGGTGAGGACGGCCTTGCTAGCAATAGGTGAGGACGGCCTCGCCTGTGCGAGGCGACCCTCGCCCATTGCCGGCGAGGACGGCTTCGCCCCTGGCCGACAAGGGTCGCCCTCGTGTAGCCCTTCCCAGGCTTCGCCGGTGGCCGATCAGCCATTGGCAAAGCACAAAGAGAAAACCATAAAAAGGAAAAAAACAAGAAAAAGAAAAGACAAGAAAATGGTTTTTTGACGAAAATACCATTGATCGGTCGGAATATTTCGCCGGTCGGCGAGCAACCGGCGAGGTCAGGTACTTATTTGGGACTCTCATAGCGACTTCAAGTCTTTATTTGAGACTCACATGCCACTTCAGATCCTTATTTGACATAAAATCCACTTCGGGTTCTTATTTGAGAAAATGATGGCACTTCAGGCCCTTATTTGAAATTTTCCCTAAATTTTATTAGTTGTACATTTTTTTTTGGGTCGGAATTATTAGTTGTACTTTGAAATTTTAGAATTTGCTATTTGAAGAAATGACTTTCATTAATTTGTGTAATTCCTTTTGTTTTTAAAGTGTCTTGACAAATGTTATTTTTTTTACTTTTTAGTTAACTTCACTAGTGTCCTAGAAACACTTATTAACAAGACCCTTACTACTTTACTACCATAGCATGATATGGCAACCAAGATGGCATCCTCACAAGTATATAAAGTTTACTTTTTCGTAAGCTCGCCTAGATCAAATTCTACACTTATTTTTTGTTTAAAACATTTTGCGGTTTGTGCATATTGATTTTTTTATTCGAAAGCACATAAAACTTTTACAAGTCACAGACGTTGACAGCTTGACATGTAGATATATATAATTTTTCACAAAGATATAGCTTGACTCGATTTCTAGAAAAAATTCAATTTATTTGGAAAATATAGCTTGCCTCTATTTGTTTTCACAGAAAATGAATGATTTGAAAACTTCCTAAAAACGGCCGCTTGCATCGCTTACAGAAATGAATGAACAAAAACTATTTTTCATAGCTCGCAACAATGTTTAAATATAAATTGTTATCGATAATGACAACAATTTGTATCACTTCCAGAAATAAATGAACAAAAAAATATTTTTCATTGCTCGCAAAAATGTTTAAATATAAATTATAGTTGATAATGGAAACATTTTTCATCAATTAATTATTTTTTTTAGTCAGATCAACTAATTATTTCAAGCGATACAAATAATCATTTTTGGAAAAAATAAACGTAGCCCATTTTTATTCAATTAATTTGCCTTGTGTGGAACTAGATTCGGATTATTTTACGTCAAGAAAAAAATCCAAATTTGTGAGCGCCAAAAACATTGACTAGAAGGGGGAAAAGAAGAACTTGTTCAAAAGAAAAAGGGTTAATATCATAAAAAACCTCAAATTAGTATATATGTGACAATTTTACCCCAACTTATTTTTTTGACCACAAAAAACTCCAAACTAGTACACTTGTGACAAATTTATAAAAAACTAATATTTTCACCACTAAAAATCCCAAACTGATACATTTGTGATAAATTTACCCTTTATTAACTTCCGTTAAATTGAATTAATACCACAAAAAATCACAAACTGGTACACCTGTGACAAATGGAGGGTAAAATATAAAACTGGCACATCGGTTAACTGTCACGTGTCATTTAACAAAGCAATTTGACAGTAAAATTTAACAGAAATAAATTGAGGGTAAATTTATCACAAGTATATTAATTTGAGGTTTTTGATAATCAAAAAATTAATTTGAGGTAAAATTATTATACATGTATCAGTTTAAGGTTTTTCGTGATATTAATTTAAAGAAAAATAGAGGGAGAAAAAAAAGTAAACTAATAGAGAATTAGAGAGAGGTACAAAACGGAGAAATAGGCACTAAAAATAATGTACGACGGAGAATGGCACTGTAATATTAAATACGAAAGACCATGGAGGAGGACGAGATTCAACCCAATCAATCAGAAGGGGGTCTCCCGTAGTAGACCCCACCCACACCCCCCGTGGTGCTTAGGGGTCATTTCTTCTGGTTTTCTGGCTTTCTTGATTAGAGTTCTTATATAATCTTGGATCAGATCTTTTGATGGACGATGATGGATGATGGATGATGCTGATGCGTCTTCTTTACGGTCTTTTTGACTTCAATCACCGCAACCCCCCAAGCGCACGCTCGCCCCCTCCTCCTGCAATAATACGATACCTCCCTCTCTCTCTCTCTCTCTCTCTCTCTATCTCTCTCTTATTTATTTCAAGAAGCCTCCTCCGACAGCCTCCCCTCCCTCACTCTCTCTATCTCTATCTCTCTCTCTCTCTCTCTCTCCCTCTGCCTCCGCCGCTAGCTCTGTGCTCCGGCGATGAGCGCGCCGCGCCACCGCCGCCGGCACCCCTCGACGGCCGCCCTCACGGCCCTCGCCTTCTTGCTGCTCGCCTCCGCTTCCGCCGCCATCTCCGTGTCGCGGCAGGTCGTGACTACGACGGCCATGAGCCCGAGGGCCGCCTCGCCGCACAATTCTTGGCCGCTGGCGGAGCCGCTGGCTCGGAGGCGGCTCTTGGCGGGCCCCGGGTCGTCGCCGCCGACGTGCAGGGCCAAGTGCGAGCGGTGCTCACCGTGCAGGGCGGTGCACGTGCCGATCCACCCGGGCCTGAGCCTGCCGCTCGAGTACTACCCCGAGGCCTGGCGTTGCAAGTGCGGGAACAAGCTCTTCAACCCTTGATCAGTCCAAGAAAATCAAGAAGAACAAGAAGAGGAAGAAGAAGACGAAGCCGATGACGATGATGATATCGCCGAAACAAGCGGATGCCGTCTTGATGCTCTTGTTCCTTCTTCCGTTTTGGATTACTATTTGGCGGTTAGTTTTTTTTTTTTGCTCTCTTTTCTTGGGTTCCGCTCGTTTGTGTATATCATGACGATTGATTTTTTGGGGGATGGTGATGATTATGAGGAAAGCCAAGCTGGGGAGTTGTTGGGATTATAGCTAATTTAGCTCTCACTCTCACTCTCACTCTCATGTGAAGTAGAGAGAGACTCCCTCTGTCTCTCAATCATAGTTTCTCTCTCTTCTGTTTTCCTTTTTTTTGGGTGGAGGTGGTTCTGACTCGTCATTAAGGTGGGTTGCGAGGTTATTATGGTACAAAAAGGGGAGCACACAGACATGTAATTATAACATGGGCTTCTCTCTCACTCTCTCTCTTTCTCTCTCATATATTCTAATTTCTATGTGAAATATGGGAAGCTGCTGTCATTTAAGATTTTCCTGCACATGCTCTCTTCCTCCGTTCGTCTTCCTCACCTTCTTTCTTCTGCTTGTTCTGCTTACAAGATCCGCTGATAATGAAAAAGCTTCCATGTCCCATTTTTTTTTCTCTTCCTTTGAGGGTTGAAATGTTAATCCGCTAAACATCTTCCAACCATTGGAATTTGTGTAACTGCTGTGTAGTCTTTTGTATTGCATATTCTTTCTTTTGGAAGATTTCTCTAAACCATTGACGACCATCGTAGCTCGGTGCAAATTGGTTCCCTGACATATCATGCCCTTCGGCGTTAGCACACCATTGATTGCATAAGCGCCACTTTCTTTTTCGCTTACCAGCGTTCATCAATTTGGATGTCGTGCCATATGTTATATACTCTTGTACAGAAGCTGGTTTTTTTTCCCATGAACAGCTCTCTCTCTCTCTCTCTCTGCGTGTGTGGTCATGTGAGGTGAGGGAGAGGGAAGACATAAAAAACGAAAACTTGTGAAAAGACATGGAAACGGGAAGGGATTGGAGACTTTGGACGGGAATATTACTGTCGCTAGAGAATTGGAGAAGAACGTGCGAATGAATGAGTTGATCAGAGAGATGGGTTTCCATTTCTGCTGTCAGCTGAGCTGAATGACTTGGATCTTGGAAGAACAATGGAGGAAACCTTTTGCAAGCAAGCAGAGAGAGAGAGAGAGAGGGTGTTTGTTTGGGAATGTGTGGCGTTTTGTTTCCACTGTTTTTTCTTTATAATATAATCTGTAGGAGCCTGTGTTCTTTGCCAATACGACAGCATTCATTTCTCAACGGACCTTGCCTTTTTTCTTTGCATCGTACTCCTCTGAAACTTTCAGAACAGCTTCATTTCCAGATGTGCCCTTTTCGTTTCAGATCTTAATTTAGTGTTTTTTTAGTCAGAGTTTATGTCACTGTTCTCTAGACATAGGTTTTCTGATAGATAGTGGTATAATAAACACTGCCAAGTGAGAAATTTGCAAACGAAAACTACTGTTTACACAAATAATCCTAAACTCCCAAAATAGTACTGCTAAAAAGTTATATTGTAAATTTAGAACTACTAATCAGTTATTACATGAAAAAATATTACCTGTCAAGATGTTTTTTAATTTGGAAAAAAAAAAAGAACTCTCAGGATCGGCGCAATTTCGAATTCCGGGTCGATTTCTAATTCAAGAATCGGAAGTCATATGTTATAATCCTATCGACTGCGTGCAAATTATTTTAGTTCAAAATTACCGATTATACCAACGGTCTAAACTTAACCAGTTCATGAAATTTGTGGGGTATTACTTGGGCCTCTATAATCGGGTCTCTACGACCATGCCCCTCAATCATAGCACAAAAAAATGAACAATTATCCCGGAAAAACTACAAAAAATTGCTTTTTAAATGATATTCCCAAAGTCTGACAAAACAAATTATATTCCCAAAGAAAAAATAGAGATTTGGTTAGTGTGGGCTCATATTCCTAAGCACCCTTCCCCCTTTCACAAAGAAAACAAAGTAATCTTTTTAATTTGCCTTTTAATTTCCAAAAAGGTTTTGACCTTTCCTTCATGAAAGAGAATAGTCCTTTTTACTTTCGAATTACATTCGTCCTCGTGTGGAAAAGAAATTAAAAAGATTTTAAAGATTTTTCTAGAGTCTGCTGCCTCTCGAAAACCTTTTTACTCCTAATCCTTGTGGATAAACTCTTGCTAATTTGCCTAAGATTATGGTAATTACTTCCCTGCGCTTTACAAATTCCAACTCCAACCAAATTGCCTAGTGGCCAAGAAAGTATCAAGAACCTTCTTCCTAAAGTCAGCACAAGACTCTTTCTACCCTACATTCGGTTCTTCAATTAGCAACATCTTTTACCATCTTCCTCGACATTCCACCCCTCATTAAATTTCACACGACACCTACTTGTCAGCTTCAAGATCATCGTTTTCATCAAACACCAAATCCATGCATTTCAAGAAAACGTACCATCGCCGACGTAATCAACGTTGTGGAATCAAATGACATTGTTTTACGAAGCAACTCGAGACTCGGGAGAGCCGCGTTGCGAAACCCTAAGCTCGAGTCAAGAAAATGGAAGTAGACAGAGGGTTGTCACAGTCTCTCTCTCTACTTCTCTCCATGGAAATCTGTACAGAAATGCCGAAAGCTTTCCTCACGACACAGTACGCGAAGGTGGACCCTTCATCATGCTTTCTTTTCTCTTGTATATATGTATATATTGTTCCGATGGGAGGAATGACCGAGAGCCTTCATTTACGCAAACTGACGAGGGGAAGAGAAACCTACAGTTCTGGGGATCCACGTGGCAGTGTTGTTTTTTTTCTTCCATTAAATGAGGTCGCAGGAGGCTGTACTCAAGAAAAGCCCCACATTCACATAGTCCCTTCTTCGACATCAATGAAGGGCGACAAGATAAATTTATCATTGAAGTTTTGTTGGGGGGATGATTCATGATTCCCAACTATATAAACCAAAAAACATGGGATCCCGTTTCCCGGTAAACATGTGGGAGTCCGGGTGTCGTGGGGTAGCGCTCCCGAGGTGTCGGAGGGCTTTTATAATTTGAGCCCGTATTTCATTGGTAGTTTGGGTTTGGACTCATAAATATCTGTCGCCTATATATAATCTATTTCTCTTGTAATCGAGCGTTGTAATAGAAAGATGAGATATGCTAATTATAGTGGTTTTCTCTTGTAATTGAGCGTTGTAATAGAGATGTGAGTTGTGCTAATTATGGCGGAATTTTCTACCAGAAGTAACCCTAGTTGAAGAGTGAATTGAGATAAATTTGATATTTCGAGTTCTCTTTCTCGCTTTTACTTTTTATTTCGTTGTGTTTGTGTACTTAATTTTAACAAGTTTTGCTAAGAGAATTTCACCTCTTCAAAAAAATTTCATGTCGCCCCTTAAGGCACAAATGATAACCATTTTTTTTGGTAACCGAGGTGTCCGGGTCAGCTTGCGCGCACCTCGATTATTCCTCGGGGGAGACTAGCACAGCAACCCACCACCATGGCCCCCCACTTAAAACACAAGTGCTCAGCTGGGGAATCGAACCTGGGACCAGTGCGCCTAACCGCACAATCCCAAGTACGCCCTAACCAACTGAGCTACCCATAGGTGGGTTATTTCCCTATTTTTCTATTTTTTTTGTTCTTGAAAACAGGTTTGGAACAGAAATCCGTTTGGTAAAAGAATTTTATTTTTCTATTTTCGGGAAAAAATTTTAGCTCAGAAATAGGTTTGAATATAAATGAAAAGTTTCAATTTTCTATTTTTCCATTTCTGGAACAGAAACAGAAATAACAACTCTTTTTTATTACTCGTCCTCGCCGCCCACCTGCCGGACGTCTGCCACCGCCGCTCACCGGTCGCTGGTCCCTGCCCTTCACCATCCGCCGCCCATCGACCGTCCACTACCCATTGACCGTCCGCCGCCATTGCCGCTCGCCGGCTGTCCACCCGCCGTCCGCCGGCCATCATAAATTTAAAAATAACCTATCAAAATGAATTTTTATTTTCGGAACAGAAAGTTTGTGTCATTATCAAATGCTACTTTTATTTATTTCTAGCCCGAAATAGGGTATGAGAACATAAATTTTATCTTTCGCGCCCCTATTAATCCAATCGTCCTTTCACATGGCCTGACGTTTCATTACTCAAGAAACATGTTTTCATTTTCATTTTTCGAACGAGGAAAACAATGCTTTCCTCCTACAAGCTTTTTTTTCACAGTTTTTCTTGCTTTCAGTTTTCGGGGGTTAAAAAATGATTGAATTTCCCGGATCAGGCGAGGCAGATTGACCAGAAGTTGAACTGGTCGGGCCGGTGGATTCTACATTTTTCAATTTTCAAAAGAGAAATGAAAAAAGAAGAAGAAAAGGGTCTAGTCATTTGCCCCCACCACCTTCACAAACTTGGATTTTCATGGAGAGAAAAATTCAGAAAATAATAAATAAAATAAAAAGAGGGTTTTTCGAAGTGACCTTTGATTTGACGTGGCTGTTGGGGTTGCTGGTGTGCTAGGTGGTATGGTATGGTCGATATTTCTCGAGATCTCTCTCCCTTTCACAGTGCTTTTTCTCAGCATTATTGATATATGATACTCTCTCTTTTCAGCTTTGAGCTCCTTGTGAAAGTTGTGTTCTAACGTGTACCTCATACGTACCAAGGGTTTCGATTTGATGTGAAGGGCTTTTACGCTAAAACGATGTGCAGTTTTCGAGCTTATCAAAAGATGTGAAATTCTTGATCTGAGAACAAGGAATAAACCGGTAGTTCTTGCTGTCGCTAATGGTGAAGTAATAAGTTGGCAGCTTGTCATGTCCCCAAAAGGCCGAGTCTGGACCACGAGACGTTAAAAGTTGGGCAATGCCGGCGTCGGGGCAAGAAAAAGATAATGACCTATCAGGGAGATTTGGACATGTAAGCACTAACACGTTAAAATAAGAAATTTATGTTTTGACATGTACTTTACCGATCTAGGTTTTCGATCTGATATAAAGGGCTTAACGCTAGAAGGACCTACGTATTTTAACTTATCGAAAGATGTGAAATTCTTGATTTGAGTGTAGGGAATAAACCGGAAGTTCTTGCTGCTGCTGCTAATGATGAGGTAAATAAGTTGCACGGTATGACATATAAAGGCTTTGGAAGGAAGAGAGAAGACAGATAAATTTCATGCATGATCTGTGCGATGACTTGGTTTGTAATAATGATTGTCGTTGCTTATTTTGAAGAAGTGAATGTTAGTGATCTCATTTGGTGGAAAATGGATAGGTCGGGGAAAAGAACATAAATGAAAATGCTGGTGAAGATGGAAAGAAAAGGAAGAGACAAACATTGACTTAAAAGAAGGAAGATATCATAAACATGCCCGAATTTTCATTAAACGACAAGAGAAAAAAAAACAAATGTCTCTATTTTTGAAAGTACAAATTACATACCTCCATTCGGCAAAATTATGCTCTTATTTACAAGATTGCCATTCATTTTTTTTTTAAAAATGATACCCTCTTTTTCTCACAAATTTTATGAACATATGAACCCAAATCGACCTAGATCTGTTCCCATAACTTTGTCTTCCTCCCCAATTCCTGCCACCCCACTTCCGTTGGCCCCTCTCTCTCTCTCTCTCTGAGATCGTATCCCCATGCCTAATAGTCTCGATCTGAGGTCTCCAATGGACATGGCGACCTCGGAGCGAAGTCTCTCCTAGCTTGACAACCTCAAGTGGCAACCTTGACTCGAGGTCGCGACAGCCACTGCCACGGCTCACGGCTATGAGAAGGAGTGCATAGGCGAATATTAGAGCAATATCAGAGAGAGAGAGAGAGAGAGAGAGAGAGAGAGAGAGAGAGAGAGAGAGAGAGAGAGAGAGAGAGAGAGAGAGAGAGAGAGAGAGAGAGAGAGAGAGACAGAAAGGGGGCCATGATGATTTCAACGGCATCAGCGGGGAGGTTTGAATTGGCAGAACGGCGGGAGAGGGTAGCAGTTGAGAAGGTTGAGAGTTTGAGTACGTATGAGGCTATGGTTTTCGGGATATTTACACGAGGAAGGGTAATTAAGATGGAGTTTCCCGCAAGCGACTTAACAAAAAAATTGATTTTTTCCCAAAGAGATAAATTTTCGAGTCGCGAAAAATAATGCGATGAAAAATAAAATGAGAAAAAGAAAAAACCAAGAAACAATAGAGCAATGGGACTGGGAGCCACCTCCTGACCTAAGTACCACAGTGCACGGTTGGCATAAAAATTATTTGGTGCATCACTAGAAGCACTCAGAAATAAAAACAGTGCTATAAAAAATAATCCACCTTTATCATTTTATTTAAAAAAGAGTTAATATCATGAAAAACATCAAATTGGTATGTTTATGACAAATTTATCCAAAATTAATTATTTGCCATAAAAAACTCAAAACCAGTATATCTGTGACAAATATACCATCTCTAAAATTGAATTAATACCACAAAAAATTACAAACTGGTAAATTCGTGACAAATGGAGGGGTAAAACCCTAAACTGGTACACCCGTCAGCTGTCACGTGTCATCCAACTTAGAAATTTGATTGTAAAATTTAACGGAAATTAACAGAGAGTAAATTTGTCATAAGTGTACCGGTTTGGGGTAAATTTGTTAGAGGTGCATCAGTCTGAGATTTTTTTATTTTTGTATTAACCCTTCAAAAAAATTGTGAAAACACAAACATCTTGTCAAATAAACAAGCGTTTTCACTAGAAATCTCAGAAATTAAAATCTCAAAAAAAAGAAAAGAAAATTGATGAAAGTGTTTTCCAACTAGCCACGTTTGGTAATAGGACCCCGTTTGTGTGCATGTGAAAACATGTCCCGTGAATTGGACGGACGGACGGACACTCACATGTTTCAAAAGGGGCACGAAAGCTTCCTGTCTTGTGTCCCCCCCCCTCCCTTGTCTAGAATCCATTCCACAAACTACAGGGGACATTAGGACCCTCCTTGTCATCTCTTTTCTTTTCTTTCTTTCTTTTGGCTCTGCTTGGAAAATGCACGAAATTAGGCCCGGGAAGAAAATTCGAGTGGAAAATTGTCGAAAACTATTATGAAATCGAAAGGGAGGGAAGACATGAAATTTTCGACAATTTTTAGAGTTCTTCGTTACGAGCAACACCGAATAAAAGCAGATGCCCTGTCGTTCACCACCGAAAGCAGATGATTCGCCAAAACCGTAGCAGCACGAGTAACCTGTTGTAGCATGACACGACAGACAAAACACTGTTTAATCGCTGTGATCGCAAGCGACCTTGGCCATTCACCCTATAAAAATGGCTCTTGCTCTCTCTCTTTCAAGGCGGAACATCATATTATATCCTTTACAATTGTAGATGAGAAAACCTTTGAAACGATCCGATCTAACTAGGGCGGGGAGGGGTCGTCGTGGCCAGAGGGCTTGCACAAGAAGCGGTTCTCGACAGGCTTTTAGGATGGCAAATGAGGTAGGAACGAACTAAGCCGTGCACCAAATAGAGGGAGAGCAATTCCGAGATATATATATGAAAAATGGAATTATCTCCCGAAAGCGCCTTTTGACGTAATGGCAACGCTTAACTTTGGATGAGGTGACATTTTAGGAAGGCACCCACCTCCACGCCAAATGACAAAATCATGAGGCTTGGTATAGGACGGGCCAAAGCGGACGGTACTTCAGTGAGTCAATCCAAGAACGTCACACCCTGCCCTTTGCACTCCAGCAAGAGAAACCTTGATACATATAACGACAATTATATGCCCGTAGATTAAGTACGGGTTTGATGAGAATGGTGAACAGCATGGGCAGCCTTGTAGTCTCGCCTGGGATGTTTTGGAATCTGGAAATGTCAGCAAGATGCAAAAATAATTGAAGAGGAGGAGCATGTAGATTTGGTACCATTCGTGCTTATGTCGGGCCTTTAGAACAGATACAACCGTGCCACCGTCGCTGATGGACTTCCGGAGAATGAGCATGATGTTGCGGTATCAGCGGGTCCATTTACAGAACGTCATGTACCAGCACGAAACAAAGACCAGGCCTCTCCATGAACTTTCATTGCACCTGAAACATGAGCCTCCTCGACCGTAAGAAAAAAAAAAAAAAAAAAAAAAGCACGAGCCTCCAAATTGCATCCCGTGTTTCCGGGAAAGTTGTCCAAAAACCTAAACCTATCGCACTATTGTCAATTCAGTCCTAAACCTTTTAATTTTGTCAGTTGAATTATAAACCTTTTCACTTTTTACCAATTCAATCCATCCGGCCAATTTTGACAGGAAATTGTTGATGTGGATGCTGACCGTCCTACGTGGCACGATTGGCGCTGAAGTGAATAATTTTAATATCTTTTTCGAATTTTTTTAGTTTTTTTAATTAATTTTCTTCTTTTTTCTTTCTTTCTTTTTTTCCCCCTTTTCTCTTTTCTTATTTCCTTTTCCTTTTCTTTTTCTTATTTCTCTTTCCCTCTTTCTCTATACCGGTCATCGCCAGGCCTCGTTGATGGTTGGCGGAGGTCACCGATCTTAGGTGAGGGATGCTCGGACTTGGTTTAGCGAGGGCCACCCTCGTTAGATCAGGCAAGGCCGCCCTCGCTTGGGCTAGCGAGGGTAGCCCCTCGCCAAATTGGGCGAGGCCAGTGAGGGTGACCTTCGGCCAAGTGAGGGCTGACCTCGCCTGATCCGACGAGGGAGGCCCAAAGTAAAATTATAAAAAATTCAAAAAAATAGAAAGAATATTATTAAATATTGTCTACGACAGTGCCTGCCATGTCATGTAAGACAACTGACGTTCACGTTAGTAATTTCTGATCAAAATTAGTCGAATGGACTCAAATGGAAAAACGTGAATAAGTTTAGGACTTAGTTGACACAATTAAAAATATTTACGACTGAATTGGTAAAAGTGTAATAGATTTGAGACTTTTTGGATAATTTTCCTCAGATGTTCTCGAAGCCGCAAAATCCTTCTCTTCGCTTCCCAATGAGTGCCATCCTTAGTTTCTTCTTGTTCGTCGCGACCTCCTCGAGATGAAATTCAAGGCAGGTTGGCAGATTGCTAAGCAAACATGTATAACCTTTTGGCGAGGCGGTGATTATCGACCGTATCTTGGTTTCTTGTTTATTATTAATCAATCGAGATTCGAATCGTCACTCACCTATTTTAGCCCGCCTTGCTCCCGTGAACCGAAGATTTCATATTCGAGAACTTAATTACGCTAATTTTACCTAAACACCAAATTACCGGTACCTTTTCTCGTTTAGTAAAAGGTCATCTAATGCGACCCTTTTTCATATTTATTCCCAAAACAAGTAAATGAACGAATCGAAGCAAATTTGACTACAAAACTATTTACTTCCCCCAATGATCACATCCAAACAGATTCTAAGCGCACGGTATTTAAACGTGCATGACCTTGAGCGATAAACAATAAGTCTTACATGATGTTTCCGATAAGTTTCGCAATATTATCGAGGCATAATGAGTATTACGACCAAATGGCAAGAAGCATTTAGTGGGCTCACATCATAAATTACGACCTAAGTTTCCCAAAGTGCTTGATCTCCAAGTCTCTAACATCTCTTTCTCATTGCCATTTTACGGGAAAATTATCAATTCCATTTCTAAACTTTTCAATTATTTCAATTTAATATTAAACCATTGACGATTTACCAATTTAATCAACAAATCTTTCAATTGTGTCAATTTAATCCTAAATCTTTTGACGATTTTCCAATTTAGTCATTCCGGCCAATTTTGGCTAGAAATAGTTGACGTGGCGATCTATTCAGCGTTGGTCGTCTTACGTGACACGACCGGCGCTGACATGGATAATTTTTTAAAATAATTATTTTTTTTTACTTTCTTTCTTTCCAATTTTGGCCAACGACCTAAAAGAAAAAAGAAAAAAAAAGAAAAATTTTAAAAAAATTGTCCACATTGATATCAATGCCAACCATTTCTGACCAAAATTAACTGAAAAGACGACAAATCATTAAAAGGTTTAAAACTAAATTGACAAATTGTCAAAAGACTTAGAACTAAATTAACACAATTAAAAAGTTCAGAATTGAATTGATCGCCATAAAATTTTTTTATGACTTTTTGGACAATTATCCTCTCCTTGTACAAATACTTCCACAATATGACTAGTCATGGAATATGCAATTCCTACTATATAATTAACATGCCAATGAATTTTATTCTAATTTTGACAATGTCAAGATAAAATGCCAATGCAACCCCCCAAAAACCCAAAAAAAAAAAAAGGAAAAAGAGAGTTAATGGCAGCACGATGCTAAAGTTAGGTTCAACAAGTCTCCAAATGAAAAAAGTAAAATGTAACGTGGATTTTTTTGGGTCTGGGGTAGAATTTCGACGAAATCAACGAATTCTACTCCTAATTTTCTTTAAAATGCAGTAAGGCCTTTTGGGCGAAAATTTTAGGTGATTGACATCGTGCATCTTCACGGTCCTTCCAAGCATCAAACATCATCTGCCTGAGGAAGACCCTCTTAGGACCGTGGTTGTTCCGGAGGTGGCGATACCTCGGCCACTATGTCTGCGAGTTCTTGGGCTCCTTCTTCTCCCAGTCGGGCATCGCATTTCTCAACAATCTGGAAAATTGCAGCACGCACGAGATGAGCGATAAACCCACATGGTCACACCAATATTGAACAAAGTAAAGAGGAACTGCCCAAAGGGCTCGAATCCATGAAGGAACGGACAACTTGCAGCAACATAACCTCAATTATAAGTTGATCCACAATACAGTTCAAACGGCAACCATATTCACATCCCCCCCGGAATCTTCCTATCATCATATTTTTTATAGAGAAAAACACCACTGGGAGACATACACATGCAAATACTGATCCAACCAAAATATCTACAATTCTATGTACTCGGTCACCCTTATTTGTCTTAAGATGCCTAACTACAGCTAGAACCAGTATTTAGTCATCATGCAATCTTAACAGTAAGTAGTCTAGAGGCATATATGAGCATATAAGAGAGTAAGTTCTTATCTGGAGCATGTCTATGAGTCAGTGTATGACTATGCATGTTACCTATACATGAAAAAAGTGGTCCCTTATAAATGCATGCACATTTTCATCATAGTAGTCGAATATGCTCTTCCACTACTTTACATAATTTTGTTACGAGAGGCCTGATTAATCAATGCATTCAGTATCACTGAACCGTATCCTCATACAAAATATTCAGTTCCCCAAAAACACCTTTCTGAAGTTTGGCTATGAAGTGAAACAGCTACCTCCATTATTCCGATCAAGCACACTACATTCTTCAATAAGATTATTTTGAAAGAGCACTACGGGAGTGCAATTCACCAACAACCTGGAAAAGAGGAGCCCAAAAAAGTTCATGCAACATTATCCTGATCATTCCTGCCGAGCTTCTTGTGCAAGGCCAGAGCGGCCCACAAAAGAAGACCTATAAGTATCTTGGTGCAACAAAATGATTCTCAACTATTACCATTTCCAAATTACTTCAAGGGAAAAGGTTTGTAGAGATCATACATTAATCCTAATTTGCGCAAGACGCTTTCACATTTTTAAAATGAGCAAGGAGACCAAGGAATTGATCATGCCAGCCACTAAATCTTCAGCACAGTTATATTTAGATCCTGATTATATTCAAATTGCCTGATATATCTACAATGATCAAATAAACTGTGCAAAGAATGGTGCAAGGAATGGTACTAGTTCTCAATTTGAATAAAGATTCTTTTTGATAACATAGCTGTTGAGATAGTGGAAAAGTACAAATTTAAATAACTCAGTGTTACAGATAATTTTCTATGCCAATTTAGCAGCAAACTTTCTTCCAGCTTATGCTTGAGGAGATCTACATGAAGGCATCTCATAGAAGCACAGGGAACTCGAAACCAGTAGGCATAAGAAAAGTTCAGCCAGTTGTTATTAATATTTACCACTTAACTTCAAATGACTATCTAAGAATCAAATCATTGACTACCAGATAAAGACTGGGAAAGACGAAGAGGGCCCGGAACAGATCGTCTAAGACTCACCGTATAAATTCCAACAGGTGAAGTCGGTCTAAGGTTGATAATGTTTAGCACCTCCGCTTTGGCAAGGTCATACTTTTTCACCTTTCCCAAAAGGTCAGAAACACTCTCTCTTGTTTGTTTGTCGGTAGCTGTGTCAACCAAGTACTGGAAAACCTGAAACATCCGCAAACAATAATTAGGTAAGACCATCAAGGTAGTTGATTCCTATTGTAATGATCAAGAACAACCTTATATTCTGATGGCGCGACTGTTGCAGCAACTTCTTTTGAAGCCCCTCTAGACTGGAAGAAGCCCAGAACCTCAAAGTTTGTTAGAGCACCATCATTGGCATTCTTTCTGCAAAATGCATAAGAGAGAAACATCAATCCAGAAATGCGAATTCGAAAACAAGAAAGAGATAAAAAAATAAAGAAGGGAAAGCAACACATTAACGGAACATGGCAAGTACATACATCTTCATTTCCAATAAGCTCAGATGCCAAGTGTAATCTCAGAGGAGCTTCTTTCAATCGGCAGTCGCCTAAACCAACGATCAGTCTCACTCCACTTTTATCAGCTGAGCCACAAAATGGTCAAACTTATATTTAGAATCAGAGAAGCGAGCAATCAGCACATGCCCTGGACACACCAGACATAGGATTAAGGAAGATAATCAATCTCAATCGGTGTAAATAAAGTATAAAACAGAACTGCATTTAGGCTTTAGCTAGTGGGATACTCCAAGCAAGCAAAATGTCTTGCAGACATTACCTACACTTTGGGATTCACATTGAATTTTACAATGGAACCAGATTCATCTACCCACTTAAGCAGTAAACTCAATACAACATCAGGAATATTTGATTTTTCACATTCGACAGGATCGTCCGCGGTCCGCAATACCGCCTACGAATACTCCAACAGTATTATATCTATTCGGTGCGCGCTTCAATCTAAGGGGAAAATACCAAAACAACAATGAAGAGGAATAATTAAGAACATAAGCACATCGTGCCTCTTATCTTATTAGCTTGGATTTCCAAAAAAGGCTGGCACCGGTTCCAAAATTACACACTACCGTCATTTATAAAGCATTCGCTTTTCCCTGAACAGGTAGATGCCCCACCGGACCCTACAACGGCAGCGGAGACGGTTACCGTAAGAAGAACAAACAACCAACCCTCAAAAGCAGAGGAAGTTCGGGAATTTCGTCGAACAGCTGGCGCGCTAACTCAAAAATCAGGACACACGAGCAAGGCGCGCCCAAATATTTATGGCTCGCTTCGACTCGCATTAAGCTCGCTCGCTCTCTCTCCAATAAAAAAGCACGCCCCCAGAGAGAGAGAGAGAGAGAGAGGGGGTCGAGACTTGCTCACCCGTCAGCGCTTCTGGAATTGCAGAGCTCGGCGGGGGGGAGGGAAGGGAGGAGGAGACGGTCTTCCGGAAACCCAAGCAGGGGCACCGCCGATCAGGCGGTCCCGATGACAAAGCGATGCGGTTGACGACGACGGCGACGACGACGACGACGACGCGGGAGGAAACTTCGCCGAACGAACGAACGAACGATCGAGGGAGGGAGGGAGGAAACGTCGATCGGGAGCAAGGATCGCGAGAGAGAAAGAGAGAGAGAGAGAGAGAGAGAGAGATGGCGAGGGGGGGAGGACGAGGATCGTTCGCGGTAGAATCTCCCTCTCTCTTTCGCTCGATTCAGCAAAGAACCCCCCAAAAGGGTCCGGTCCGGCCGGGCCGATTCCGTTCGAAGCAACTTTCCCGCGATAATTATTGTGGGGGCGGGGGAGCCCCGTCTTGGGGCGACCCGGCCGGACGGTCGGACCCGGTTCGCCGACCGGGCATCTAGCCTTCGAAAGAAATTTGGTGGTCTCGTCACCCCGGTCCTACTTTTCTTTTGCTTACACTCGAAGCTCCCTCGTCTTGGAGTTGCCCCCTTTAGAAGATACCGAGGGGGAATTGGGTTTCGGATTCCGGCACCCGGGGCCCGACATGGCCGGAGCGCTTGATAAATTTTGCTTAAGCGAAAAGATCTTGTAACTGCTAAATTGGATCTTGTTAGCGAGCGCCCTCAGAACGCTCTCTGGCTATAAGTAATAACGAAATTTTTTTAGTTTTCATTGCGCTCGTTATTTGCATAACGGAGAAACTATGCAAAGGAAATTACGGATTTTTCCTCAATTGGGTGTTTAACGAGTTCCTCGGGGTACTTGTTAACAAATTCTTACCAGATTAGCTACCGAACTCGATGCCAAAGGTGTCAGTAGATCCTCCTCTCCGCAACTCCGCTCCTGTAAATGTTCTCACTGGACCCACCATCTTGTAATGCACGTCGCTAATATAAGAGTATGATTAAATTAATGTCAAGCATTATGGTCTGGACCAAAATCTTCATATAATCGCAAGATCACCACTCACACTGCTTTGACATTTTATTTGGTATTCGTCCATTTATAAATAGAAAAGTCGTATTGTTTGGTGTTGATTCCGTCATGGACGTAAATAGAATGACGCAACAGTACAAATTTCTTCGTCATGATATAATTTTTAATATCATGCTAGATTATGACGACGTAAAATTGACTTATAAATATCGGGGATATCGAGAGCAATCCATTGTAAATGATAATTAACGGAAAAATTATTCAAAAGGTCATTAAATTATTGCACTCTTGCCAAATCAGTCATGAACCTTTTAATTATATCAATTGGGTTCTAAACCTTTTCACGTTTTGCCAATTGAGTCCATTCAACTAATTTTGGCTGAAAGTCGCGGACGTGAAGGCCGGCCGTTTTACGTGGCGTCTTTGGCGCTAACTTGGACACTTTTTAATAATATTTTAATATTTTTTCAAATTTCATTTATTAAGTTTTCTCTTCTTTCTTTTTTTTTCTTCCCTTCTTTCTCTAGCTGGTCGACTGGCCTCGGCGATGGTCGATGATGGTTGACGACTGGCTAGTGGCGGCGAGGTCGACCTTGCCAGCCCCTCGCCTTTGGCCTGTCGTCAGCCATCGCTGAGGCTCGGCGACCGGCTAGAGGTTGAAGGGAAGGAAAAAAAAGAAAAAGCAAAAAAGGAAAAATAAAGGAAAAAAATAAAAAATAATTCGAAAAATAAAAAAATCAAATTATTATTAAAAATTATCTACGTCAGCAGCACCGGTCATATCATGTGTTGCCGGCCGGCGTCCAAGTCGCCGATGCCCTCTAGCATAACTCCCCCAAACAAATCATCCAACTATAATAGTACCCTTCGAGTCCTAACGCGTTAAGCATGGCCCCCAAGATTTGCCTCAACACCGCATTGCAATCACTTTGTAGTGGCGATTCAAAAGTTTCAAAAAAGTACGTGATCAATCCATGCAACTACTAATCCTAGACAGAAACTAAAACTGTCGTGCGCGTTAGAAGATAATCACTCGTAATCTCGACCATCGTTCGTAATCCCACCACGGACAAGTTTCCACACTAGTATATAAACTCCCCCTCCTCCACCTTCATCGTTCACACTCCTCCTCTCCTCCGCTCTCCAGAGCCCCAGAAAAGCTCCCTAACGATCGAATCCTTCCTCTGATTTTCCTTCGCCGTCGTCTTCTTCTCCTTCTTCGCCAGGCCGACAATGCAGAGCAGGACCGGCGACGTCGAGAGCGGCCCCCCTGCCCCCGCTGGGGACGCGTCGTGCCCCGGCATGCTCGAGAGCCCGCAGCTGCGCTGGGCTTTCGTGCGTAAGGTGTACGCGATCCTCCTGTCGCAGCTCCTCCTCACGGCCGGGGTCGCCGCCGCCGTCGCCCTAGTGAAGCCCGTGTCGCGCTTCATCGCCGAGACCTGGCCGGGGTCCATGGTAGTCCTGGTCCTCGTCGTCCTCGTTTTCATACGTAAAGATGCCCATCTTCGCCTCGCCCCATAATGCGTTCATGTTTTGTCCCGTTTGTTCATCTTCTGCTGTTGCTTTGATCTTTCAGCGGTTATTCGTCGGTAATGTTTACATCGTCTTTATTTTGTGATCGCTCTTCAGTTATGCGCGCGTTGAGCTCCCACCACAAGAGATATCCGGTGAACTTCGTCCTCCTGGGGCTGTACACTGTCACATTGGCGTTCATGGTGGGTCTCGCTTGCGCTTTTATGGAAGGTACTACCAATTTTTTTTGTGCGTTAATCTAGATTTTTTCCCCCTAGATTTGTTTGTCGAGCTCGTTCGGCTTTGTCCGAGGTCGTGGAACTTGTGGCAGAAGTATTTCCGACGACAACTGATGCGAAACGCCGAGGAAAATCGCCATCTCGGCCCTTTTCCTTTTGTGTTCTTGACGCCTTGCGTTTCATGTTTGCTGAGCAATTTTCTTGCCCGATTAATCTCTGTTTCTCCTATTTCAAATTGATAAAAGATTGCTCTTGTTAAGATTTACCATCGGTATTCTACTGTTTAATTCCTTACTCAATTTGCATAATTAGCCTTCCTTGATGAGAACAAATGTATGAAGTACAGTCCACTTTTTCGTTTCGGTGCTCTCGTCTTTTCTCTTACCATTCCTAATTTCGTGCACATGATTCAATCCGGGGCTTGTCTTATAGCTTTTGGCTCTTTAGATAAAAAGAAGAAGAAGAAGATCAGATCTTATGTACAAACTTGGCACTTGAACAAAGTTCTTGTTAGTGTACTTATGAAGTGTTTGCCATATACAACTCTGAAAGAGGACCGGTTTTGCGCGGCTTTCTCGCCCGGCACATTTAGTGACCTTGAGCTCATGCATTAATTTGATTCGATGAGTGTTTTTACCGTGCTCCGAGAGTGAGCAACGTGCTTTGGCATCGTCAAATTTCTTTGTTGAAAACTGATGATTGTGTAGACTTACATCAAAAGGGTATGTCTGCTTCATTGTTCTAAATTAGCTGTTCTATAAATAGAATATCTGACTCATGATGCTCTTAGTAGGGATGGAAATAGCATTAATTACTATAAAAAATTTTGGTGGGTAATGGAATAATGGAATATTCTTTTATTTATGTGTATATTGGTGCGAACCACATTCACATCACCAGTTCGTGGACATGCAAGTTCTCTATTTAGCCCTAATGATCTAGTGCTAGTTACTTCTTTTGTATCTATGCCTAATCTTGAGTTCCATCTCTTCAACAGAAAAGATCATCTTGGAATCGGCGATCTTGACGAGCGTCGCCATCGTCGCGCTTACTTGCTACACCTTCTGGGCTGTAAAGAGAGGCCGCGATTTCAGTTTTCTCGCACCCTTTTTGTTCGCTTCCCTCCTAGTATTACTCGTTTTCACTCTTATTCAGGTACACTTTGGAAACATCTTTCTTTCCTTTCCAACATCTCTTTTTTCTGGCTGCTGCTCTCTGTCATGTTCTGCTGAAGAATTCTCACGTTCTGGACTGTGTTTGATGAACAGATCTTCTTTCCTCTGGGGAAGTTATCCACGATGATACATGGCTGCCTGGGAGCGATCGTGTTCGCCGCCTACATCGTATATGACACCGGCAACCTGATCAAGCGCCTCAGCTACGACGAGTACATATGGGCTGCGGTTGCGTTGTATCTTGACGTTCTCAACCTCTTCCTCAGCTTTATCAATATTTTCGGGTCGGCCGATTGCTAAGGAAGGCCGTTCGGCATGCCCTTGCCCGAACATCATGATTTTGTCTTAGTTGAAGATACTGAGGGAGCAAAAGTGATGCCGAAACGCGATAGAAAATTTGACTGAACAAGAAAATTCGACAGAAGAACAATTCGTCCTCCAAATATGATTATCAAATCAAAAATATTCAAAGTCTGCTCAAAGGAAACCCTAAAACAAGCTTCTATATCCCCCAACCTAACCCTACTAGGATCAGTAAACATCAAAACGCAAAATTACGAAACTGCCCTCTACTAAATTGACCCATAAAAAAATACTAAAAAAATAAAAAAATCCATCTAAACAATCTCGAATCGCGAAAATCCATCGTTAATCACGGCCGAAGGCGTGAGTATTGATCAGCACGCCGTTTCGCTTCAGCCGATCAAATTTGAGCTCAATCTGATATCGTTGACTTCAAACCCGCCGATTCGTCCAGTCGCATAACGGGTCCGCCGGTCCCCCCTAGGTGCATCAAAAAGTTTTTGCTTTTTGATAGGGACGTGTATCTAGTTTTGCAAGCAACTCTGATATGGAGTTACTTTTTCAATTGGTCGATTGAAGAATCCTCGTATATCTTGATATGCGTACACAAAACTGTTTAACCTTTACTTCGAAAATATGTTTGGATAAATCAAGATTTATAGAGAATGCTACATATGTTGAAATCTAATAAAAAGAACGATTAAGCAAATTACGATATCTTATTTTTAAAATCTTTTTGTGTTCATGGCAACATGCTTGTTAGTACTCCAGTATAGAAGATGAAAGAGGGTTTTAAAGACGCGGCATGTCGACCTTTGTCAATTTTGTGAGGTGATCTAATGAAATAGTATTCTCTTGTTTTCTTATTCTTTGGATATGAATTTTTATTTCTTACAAAAGAAAGCTATAAAAAAAAGTTTTCATTATTTTGTGGGTTAAGGCTCGTTTATGTTACACAATTTTCATTAAATTTATTTATCTCCCCCGAGGCTCATTTATGTGACACTATTCTCAATAGAATTTAGTTATTTTGAGTGAATTTCATTCATTTGCTTAACCATTTCCAAAGAGGCCCCATCCTTTTATTTCTTACGTACTTTAACTGCAGAATATTTTGATAGAGAGGCTGTCAATTAAAATGATATGTCACGACCCTCTAGAGAACGACGAGATGTCCTGAGGGAAGTTGATAAATCATTAAGGGGGCGTTTGGCAAGTTGCCAAATAGTGAAAATTTCTGTTCTTTTATTTCCAGAATAAGTTTGGGAACAGAAATCCGTTTGTTAAATTTTTTGTGCCTGGGCACAAATTTGCAAAAAATTGTTCCCAGAATCAGTTTTGGAATAAAATCAAGAAGAAAAAAAAAAGGTAGCTTCTTGATTCTGGAACAATTTTTCCATTTCTGATTCTTCTTGGTTTTCTTCTTCCTTTTTGGTTTGTTTTTCTTCTTCTTCTCGGTCTGCCGCCGGCCGGCCACCGGCGACTGGCCACCTGCCAGGGCTGGCAAGGGTGGCTTGCGGCCGCGACGGCGAGGTCGGCCTCGCCAGATCGGGGCGAGGTCGAGCCTCGCCTGGCCATGGTAAGGCCAACCTCGCTGTCGCGACCGGCGAGGCCGGCGGCGAGGGCCGTAACGCCCTCGCTGGCCCTGGCCTGTGGCCAATAAAGGGAAGGAAAAAAAAGAAAAAAAAGGAAAAAAGAAAGAAAGAAATATTAAAAAATTCAAAATATTATTAATAAAAAAAAATTTTGTGTAGTTACCAAACACATTTATGTTCTTTTTCTATTATAAGAATAGAAATTTTGGGCAGTTACCAAACGCCTTCAAATGCTTAGAAATTGTTCTTAGGCACAAAATAAAAAAGAATCATTTCTAAGCAGAATCAATTTCCGGGTATAGAATCGTTGCCATGTGCACCCTAAGTGGGCATGAACAATCCCTCTCGCGAGGTGGCTTCTACATCTAACGCGAGCTCTCTCGAGCCCTATCGATCGCAACATGATTTTTCTCAAACAATTATTTATTTTATTATGAAGCCACCACTAACTTACTATTGGCTTATTAGAACTAGAGAGATTCGAAGCCCGGAGACTTGATTAGGCTAGATTAATCTTTCTTAGAATATCCAAATATAACATTTTTGCTTTCCATTTCAGCAAAAGATGATAAAGGTTAATAATATTGGTGAACCATCGAAATGCAAAACCAATTTCGTTTCTACAGAGCAAGATGGAGAAAAAAGGGCAGAAGGAATTATTTTCTTTAGAGACAGGTGTCATGACCCAAATGGAGGAATGCACAACCGTTTTGCTGCCTTAACCCTAGTCCCAGCTGAGTAAATCTAACTACAGCGTGGTAATGGGTTAAGGAATATAAATAGCAGTATGTATTGTAGAATAAAGAGACGAAGTGTTATGGCTTTCATTGAAGAACATTCTTCTCATGGGAAATTTACCTTTGAATCATTATCTTCTTAATTTCTCCGATTTTCTTCATGGTATCAGAGCTTGATACTGAGAGCCGGTTTTACCATATTTGTTTTCTTCCTTTTCCTTGAGTTCATCTCTTCTCCATCTACGCAATCATGGCGGAAAACCCAAATCCGAGATACCCATACCCCATACATGTAAACCTCTCAAACTTTGTGACTATCAAACTTTCAGAACGAAATTTCCTTCTATGGAAAACACAATTTCTTCGCTTCATTAGAAGCCAAGATCTGTTGGGTTTCATCAATGGTCAAATTCAACCTCCACCACTCAGAATCTCACTCACAAAAGGGGAAAAGTCTGAAGATGTCCTTAATCCAGAGTATTAGCAATGGTATTGTACCGACCAACTTGTTTCGTCGTGGATCAGTGGATCTGATGTGCTGGGACTCATAATTGGTCTTGAATCGGCTTCTGAGGTATGGAATACATTGTGTAATCGTTTTACTTAGAGATCTGTGGCCAAAGAATTCGAATTAAGGGGTAAGCTTCAATCCTGTCAAAAGCGTAATAGGCCCTTAACTGAGTATTTGCGTGAGTTCAAATTGATTTGTGACCAGTTAAACGCGATCGGGAAACCGGTCGATGAAATCACAAAGGTCTTCGGTGTTTTAGAGGGTCTCGGAAGTGACTATGAGACATTTAAGACAACTATGTATTGTCTTAAACTCGAGTCGAGCTATGAAGACGTTATTGCTCAGCTCGAGAGATATGAAGTGCGACATCAAAATTATTTGTCGAATCAAATAAATTCTAATTTGGCATTTGCTGGAGAAATGATCGATCAATGTAAACTGAACAGTGAGGATGATTCGAGTTCATTTGATTCAACATTTGTTTTTGCTGGCCAAAGAAATTTTAACAGAGGTTTTGTAGGAAGGAATGGGAGGTTTGACAATAGAGGAAGAGGCTATGGTTTTCGTGGAAGGAGGTTTGGAAATTATCCCAAATTCCAAAACTATGGACCCTCAGCAACTTTTGGTGATTCATCTGATGGTTATCAATCTGGTGGAAATTACAGACCAAATTCACCTTCTCAGAATCAAGGCTTCTGACCTTATACAAACACTCCGACTAAGGTTGCTGATTCAAAGGAGTATCTGCCTATGAGTGGTAATTCTGCTTCGGACAGACAGTTTTATGTGGATAATATGAAGCTTCAATGTCAGATATGCAAGAGGCCGGGACATGACATTCTACGTTGCTGGTACCACTTTGATAATTCTTATCAAAGCGAGTTGATACCAAATGCCTTAGCTGCTCTTCACTTGGAGGATGATCAAGGAGGAGATTGGTTCCCGTATTCCGGGGCAACAGCCCATATCACATCATCGACCGGAAACCTCAATTCTTTCTCTCCTTACTATGGTTCAGACACAGTAATGGTAGGAAATGGAGTTTGTTTGCCCATTACCCATATTGGCTCAACATCTTTATCTACTGAACTGCATTCATTTCCTTTAAATGAGGTTTTGGTTGTCCCAAAGATTAAGAAAAACTTGATTTCGGTGTCTAAGTTGACTGACGATTACCCTTGCTCACTAATCTTTGATGAACTTGGTGTATCTATTAAGGACCATCTGACGGATTCAGTAATCAATTTGAGAAAGAAATATGGGGGCCTTTACAAGGTAAATCAAGCACAAACAGAGGCGTGGTACTCTCAAAGATAGCGAACCGCCAGTAGTGAAGTCTGGCACCTTCGGCTTGGGCACACAAACTTTCAAATAATAAAGTTTCTGGAGAACAACAACAAGATCAAATATACAAAGGTGACAAAGAGAATATGTGGAAGCAACCAGGTTGGAAAAAGCAGCAAGCCGCCCTTCAATATCTCGGAATCCTTAGCTAGTAAACGACTTGAAAAAATCTATTGTGATGTGTGGGGGCCTGCCCCGATAGAATCTTTTCAACAGTTTAAATTCTATGTAGTCTTCATAGAAAGTTCTTCACGGTTCTCATGGGTGTATCCAATGAAGAGAAAGTCTGAGTTCTTTTCCATCTTTGTCATGTTCCAAAATCTTGTTGAGAACCAATTTGAAAGTCGAATTAAATCTTTCCAATGCGACGGTGGAGGGGAATTCAATAGCAGCCAATTTGTTAATCATTTGAATGAGAAAGGAATTCAAATGTTGGTCTCTTGCCCATATACGCCAGAACAGAATGGAAATGCCGAAAGGAAACATCGGCATATCGTTGAGTTGGGTCTTTCTATGCTCTACCATGCACGGGTACCGTTGATTTATTGGGTCGATGTATTTCTAACTACCACATTTCTCATCAATCTGCTGCCATCACCAGTGTTGGGAATGAGTAGTCCGTTTGGTAAACTCTTTGGTAAAGAACCTGACTATGGGTTTCTTCGAGTCTTCGGGTGTGAGTGCTATCCACACCTTAGACTGTATGGTGCAACAAAGTTCGATCCATGCTCGTTACCTTGTGTTTTTCTTGGGTACAGTCAAAGACATAAAGGTTATCGATGTCTTTATCCACCTACAGGAAGAGTGTACGTAAGTCGTCACGTGATATTTGATGAGACGAGATTCCCATTTTCTACTAAATTGGGAACTGTTTTTCTTGGGTATTCATAGTTGTGTCAAACTTGGTTACAAGGGGTGGAATTCTTTACTAGACAATCTCAAACAACAGTGAGTGAAGAGCAAACATCACAACACACAAGCATGGGATTTCTATTTGATGATAACAACTCTGGACAACAAAATTATGAGCTGCCTAATAAGACAAATGTGCAGCAACCACAGTTGGTTTCACAAGAACCATGCACATACTATGAGACACATGACGAAGCAAGAGTCTCTACCTTAAGTGATTTTCCAGTTCTATCCACTCAACAACAATCTACTCACCCAATGCAAACAAGGTTGAAATCGAGAATAAGGAAGCCCAATTTGAAGTATGTTCTCTCTACAGCCCATGAGATCCCAAAAGAGTCGAAAACAATTAAAAGAGCACTAAATCACCCGGGTTGGAGGAAAGCTATGATGGAAGAATTGGAGGCTCTCGAATTAAATCAAACATGGGAGCTAGTACCAAGATCTTCAGAAATGAATATCGTCGGATGTAAGTGGGTGTTCAAAGCCAAGTTGGATGCGGAAGGAAACCTTGATAAATCAAAAGCACGATTAGTGGCGAAAGAGAACCATCAAGAGGAAGGAGTTGATTTCGCCGAAACTTTCAGTCCTGTGGTTAAACAGGCGACCGTGAGAATTGTCCTCTCAGTGGCAATTGTTAAAAGATGGTTTATCCATCAACTGGATGTGAAGAATGCGTTTCTTCATGGGTCATTGAATGAGACGGTGTTTATGGAACAACCACCAGGTTTTGTGAGTTCTACGATGCCTAACTCGGTTTGTTTACTCAAGAAGGCGTTATATGGTTTAAAACAAGCTTCGTGAGCTTGGTTTGAAAAATTCAGCAACTTTTTGCTGGAACGGGGATTTCATTGCAGCTCCACTAATCCGTCGTTGTTTGTTCTTCACATGGGTCAGCACATCTTGGTATTATTATTATATGTTGATGACATTATTTTGACAGGCAGCTCATCATCTCTACTTTGGGAATTAATAGAAGCTTTAAGCAGAAATTTTTCTATGAAAGATCTCGGACGACTTCACTATTTTCTCGGTATTGAAGCCAAGTTTACGGGTCCGGACCTATTTCTAACACAATCTAAATATGCTGGTGATTTGTTGCAGAAAGCAGAAATGCAAGACAGTAAGCCGATTGAGACCCCATTACCTATCAAAACTCATCCAACGGTACAAGACATGGAACCATTTCATGATCCCCACTTCTTTCGAAGTCTTGTGGGTGGATTATAATATCTAACGATCACAAGACCGGACATCTCTTATTCAGTAAATCAAATCTGTCAGAAAATGCACTCTCCTATGAATGGCGATTTCAAACGGTTAAAATGGGTGTTGCGATATGTGAAAGGAACTCAGCAACTGGGGCTTTATTTTCACTCTAATAGCACATTGAATTTATACGGGTATTGAGACTCTGATTGGGCTGGCTGTTCTAAGACTCGGAGGTCAACGATCGGGTTTTGCACTTTCTTGGGATCAAATATCATTTCATGGTCTGCAAAACGGCAAGTGACAGTCTCAAGGTCATCGACGGAGGCTGAATATAAGGCCTTGGCTTGTGCCATAGCCGATCTTACATGGGTTTCTTTTGTATTGAGAGATTTGGGTATTCCGCTCACGGATCCGACTTTACTTTACAGTGATAACCGCTCGGCCATTTCATTGACAGCAAATCCAGTCCTTCATGCAAGGACAAAGCACGTGGAGATCGATTTTCATTTTGTTCTAGAGAAAGTTGCTCTCAAGTCACTTGAAGTCCGCTATGTTCTTGCTACTCATCAAATTGCTGACATACTTACAAAAGCTTTACCACGCTTGATCATTGCGGGTTACGATACAAACTGGGACTAGGTTTTCCACCTAATCCCAGTTTGAGGGAGGCTGATAAGGTTAATAATATTGGTGAACCATCGAAATGCAAAACCAATTTCGTTTCTACAGAGCAAGGTGGAGAAAAAAGGGCAGAAGGAATTATTTTCTTTAGAGACAGTTATCACGAGCCAAATGGAGGAATGCACAACCGTTTTGCTGCCTTAACCCTAGTCCCAGTTGAGTAAATCTAACTACAATGTGGTAATGGGTTAAGGAATATAAATAGCAGTATGTGCTGTAGAATAAAGAGACGAAGTGTTATGGCTTTCAGTGAAGAACATTCTTCTCCTGGGAAATTTACCTTGGAATCGTTATCTTCTTAATTCCTCTGATTTTCTTCAAAAGACAAGGTTGAAAATGGATAAGGTAGTGTGGAAGAGAGATCAGACTTAGGCCGAGTTGAACTTCTAGCTTGTTTAAAATTTGACGAACGGAAAATTTAGGATAGGTCGCAGGTCGGGTTAGCGATCATGTCAGGTCAATTCCAGTGAGGTTATGTTATCAGCCTATAACCGGGAATCGACCTTAGGTTTCCCCCCCCCAAATTCCCGCTAACGCCCACCCAATAAACAAGCGAAAGAGTGATTAGTCCAATGCTCTTTATAGAATCAATGTTCGTAATGAGATGCTTTCTTAAAAATGGAGCGACTTTCTTTGTCTCGACGTTCATGGATCAGTTGTGACTTCGGCCATTTGTTCTTGGAATCGATCGTGACAGACCCGATCAGTAATCCCGTCACAACAAATTTCGACGTATATAAATGTAATCTCGTCCGTCTCCTGCTTCTTCTTCTTTGCGACAATGCAAAGCAAGACTGGTGACGTCGAGAGCGGCCGAGATGCCGCCGCGTTGTACCCCAACATGCTCGAGAGCCCCCAGCTTCGCTGGGCTTTCATACGTAAAGTGTACGCAATCATCTTGGCGCAGCTCCTCCTCACCGCCGGCGTCGCCTCCGCCATCTTCCTCACGAAGCCCATGCGGCACTTCGTGGCCAAGACCAAGCTGGGGTTCGCCATCTACATCGTCGTCCTCGTCCTCCCTTTGATACGTAAGAAACCCGTCTTCGCGTCACCGCATAATGCGCTCATGTTTTTGTCCGTTCGTTCCTTTTCTACTGTTGTTTCGTTTGTCCGTGAAGTTTCATCCTTCTTCTTTGTGATCGCTCAACAGTTATATGCCCTTTGCGCGCGTACCACAAGAGACATCCGGTGAACTTCGTCCTCCTGGGCCTGTTCACGGTCACCATGGCCTTCGGTTTGGGTTTCTCCTGCGCTTTTATGAAAGGTACCTCCACTCTTTTTGTTTATCGCGGGACTATTTCTTGAACTCATTCTACTTGGTCCGATCAGCAAGGTCGTAGAACTTGCGGCAAGAATACCATCACGTTTCGACAACGCTGATGATGCGACATGCCGAGGAAAAAATACCATCTAGGCCATGTCCTTTTGAGTTCCCGACGTTGCATTCCGTGTTTGTTTGTCGTTTTGGGAGAGTTCATCTTTTGGCTTGTCTCAGAAAACTAAACCAGAATTATAGTAAATTTCCCGGCAAGTTTGTCTTCTATTGTTTGACTTTCTTTAATTTGTGAAATTGCTCTTCCCTGGTGATAGCAAATGTATAGAAATGCAGTCCTCCTTTTTGTTTCGGGACTGTCTTTTCTCTTCCCATTCGTAGTTTCCTATGCATATGATACAATGCGTGGCTTGTCTTATAGATTCCGATAAATAAAAAAGGAATATGGATCAGATCTCACGTGGCAGCTAATGCCGTTGGACTTATCAATTCATTTCTGCTTTTTTGAACTCCAACCTTGGCACTTGAACAAGTTCTTGTTAGTGTAGTCGTGAAGTGTTTGTCTTACTACTCTGAAAGACGACCGGTTTTGTGTGGTTATCTCGACGGATACATTTGGTGACCTTGATGAGCTCACAGAATAATTCGATTCGATGAGGGTTTTTACTATGCTCCGAGAGTGGGCACGTGCTTTGCCGACGTAAATTTTCTTAATTGAAAAATGATAATATGTTGACTTAATCAAAAGGGTTTTGATGTTTAGTCCACTGTTTTTAATGGATATGCTGTAATTAGATTATCTAACTCATGATGCTCTCAGTGGGGATGGAAAGAGCATTAATTACTGTAAACTGTGAAGATGACCGGTTCGCGCAACATAAATGTCGAGGGACCACTTGACATTAAAATGATTGGATTAGCTGGTAAAAATTGTTGGTCGGTAATGATCAAGTTCCAAATGGGATAATGAAATATACCTTTATGTATGTGTATATTGGTGCGAATCACATTCACATCACCAGTTTGCGGACATGCAAGTTCTCTGCCGTAGTTCTATCATATATTTTAACAGGTCATTAAGCCATAATGATCAAGTACTAGTTACTTCTTTTGTGTCTATGTCTAATCTCAAGTTCCATCTCTTCAACAGAAAAGATCATTTTGGAGGCGGCAATTTTGACGAGTGTCGTCGTTGTCGCACTTACTTTGTACACGTTCTGGGCTGTAAAAAGAGGCCGTGATTTCAGTTTTCTCGGACCCTTTTTGTTCGCTTCCCTCCTGGTGATACTTGTTTTCGCTCTTATTCAGGTACTCAAGGAACAATTTTCATTCCTTTCCAACATCTCTGGCTGCTCTCTGTCAAATTCTGCTAAAGTTCTCATGTTGTGGACTATGTTTGATGAACAGATCTTCTTTCCTCTGGGGAAGTTATCCTTGATGATATTTGGTTGCTTGGTATCCATCATATTTGCCGGTTTCATCGTGTACGACACCAATAACTTGATCAAGCGCTTCAGCTACGATGAGTACATATGGGCTGCAGTTTCATTGTATCTTGATATCATCAACCTCTTCCTTGGCCTTCTCTATGCTTTCGGAGCCGGCGAGGGCTAGAAAAACCATTTGGCATGCCTTTGCCCTTGATTTGTGTGAATGGTGATTGTGTCTTCTTTGAATAATAAACTGACGAGGGCTAAGGTTTGCGAATAATGATACGGACCCGAATATAGTTTTGCAAGTAACTTTGATCTGTGAATGTGTAAAGTAGAATCCACAGAATTAAGTGAAGAGCTCTTAGAGTTCTCAACAATCAGCCGCTGTGGAAACTTTGTGCTTGCTTGGAAATCATAATTCCACAGCACAACGTGTAATAACATTATGATTTTTCTCGCTTTAAAAGCTAAACCTGTTATAGGAGGCATCTATTTTGCCTCCTTGCAATCATCGGACGATGCTTCCAGCGCGATAATCTCCTCTTGATATCTGCTTGTTTGATTTACTCCGAAAGAACGAACTAGTGAGGATTTGACTTGGTCATTTAGTCATATAGTCGCATGCTCGCACTTCGGTGAATAAGGTACTGAAAGGGCATTAGATTTATCTAATTAGTTGTCTAATTGACCTACTTATAACTAATTAGTGACGATTCCTGAATAAACTGATTTGCATGATAAGTTAATTAAATTAAAACCGGAAAGTTGTGGTTGGTTAGGGTTTTGGAGAGTCCACGCTAAGTCTGAGGCTTAATAATCCATTAGCTTTCCTTTTGGTGGTTGACCTTTGAGAAGGTTGCAACATGCACATTAGATTTTCTATTTCATTTTTTTTCCTTTTTATCATTAAATTATAAATATTAAGCACTAAATTGATTGGTGGTGGGCACATTATATATTATATTTCTTTATTATGACCCGCCGTGATTCTGTTAATCCATGGATCATAGAACTACTCCTTTTTAATCAATCTCTCAATCTCTCCTGCTGCATTGCACTTGCACAACACGGAAATTGTAAAGGTCCTAGCCACACATTAGACATTGCATGTCAAATACTACGAACGGCGACCAAAGTTAATCATGTATGTGTCACGGGCCGGCAGTTCCTTAGTTGCGGAATAGCCCGTGCGGTGCCTGGTGGGTCGTTCACACAAGGCCAACCCTTGTTCTATAGTTTTTTTAAGAAACAATAAGACGATTAGTTTTCTCGTATCGAATCGTACCACATTTAGCTAAGCTCAGGTGTCTAGTCCATCGAGCAAGACACACTAAATACTTTAGGCACCACAACTGGTTTTGGCCTACCATGGTCTCATCTGGAGAGCGGCATCAGCTTCCGATTAGTTTGTACACGGGAGGGCAATCCTGCTCTCAGAGCTCCTAGGATATATTCATTCCATCGTAGAACTCCTAGCACCAACCATCCTAACACCACTCCCACGAACCAGTTGTATTCATCATTTCTGCACCATTCACTCTTCTACCGATAACCCCAAGCTCCACTCACAATGGTACATGAGTATGAAAGAATCACGGTCCGTGACACGTGCATGGTAGACACTGCGACAGCAACTATACTCGACTATACATGTATAATCGGCCAAGGATTAAAAAAGGAGCAACGATTTAGAGGTCGAAACATACATACTGTCCAGCAATTGATTATGTATTAAAGGCGCACGTCACCAAACTGAAAACCGATCAAACGAGGGACCAATGACCATGAGAATCCACATTCTTCTCTTTTGTTGGTTTATTCCTTCCTTCTTGTTTCCTTATTTTGTCTGCTAGCTTGGGTATCTCCTTCGCACACGCCTTTTAATTGCCAAGAACTGAAGATAATAGAGCTATCACGATGGAGGAATCGGTGGAGCATTCCATAATCTCGATCTTTCTTCCTTCCTGCGGAGATTTCCATGGAGAAATGAAAGGAATGCTCCCATTTTACCTTATTGTCCATGGATCCCGAAGTGACCGCTAGCGTTAAAGGACGATATCTCTCGCTCTCTTTAATCGTCGATCCTATCCCCTTCCATTTCGCTTCCACAAATGCATTGATTTGGAATATCCAAATGTGACATTTTTGGTTTCCATTTCGGCAAAAGACACGGCTGAAAATGGATAGGGTCGGACGAGAGATCAGAGTTAGGCCGAGTTTTGCATCGGGCTTGCTTAAAATTCGATGTACGAAAATTTAGGATGGGTCGCATGTTGGGGTAGCTCACGATTAGCGATCTCGCCTAGGATGATATTCGATGCGACCATGAAAGATTTAAGCAAATTTCTCTCTAGTATCTAAATGTAGTGCATAATATGAATGCAAAATTATGCGATATTGATATTTTTGGTTACGGGTCAAATTCGATTCCTAAACTTTTATACAATGAATGACAAGAATAAAAAATAAAATTTAGGTGTCAACAATACAAAATGTTGTTTCTTTGAAGGTTTGATATATGAAATAATCATAAAAGAAGTACATCAAGGTCACATACCTAAGGAAATAATGCATTTAATTGAATAGGAAGATAGTAAGGGACGCTAATGCATTCGTGACTCATTTAGGAAAAAAGAAATTTTATGTTATATAACATGATATCATATGAGTATAAATTTTGAAACGGATAGGATGAGATAATGATAACAATATAATTATTAAATATCTATTTTTGAATAATTTTTATATCCAATGTAGCATCATATAAAAAAGGGACCGAAAAAAAATTTGAAAGTTTAAAGTAAAAATGCATAGACAAAGACAGATCGCTATAATGGCGACACTTAGGGTGCGTTTGATTTGCGGAAAATGAATGATTTTGAAAACATTTTCCTAATAATGGTCGCTCGTATCACTTACAAAAATGAATTAGCGAAAAATATTTTCATTGCCCACTAAAAATATTTAGACATAAATTGTTGTCGATAATAAGAAAAGAGACAAAAGAGAGAGGGGGTAATGAAAGAGAGAAGAAATCTGAAAAATGGGCCCCCTTGGACACGTGGCGATCGGTGAATGATTTATCTTAAAGTGACGTGGCAAATCAGTTGTACGCAATATTTTCTTATAATGGAGGGGAGGAGAAATCTGAAAAATGGGCCTCGTTTGGACACGTGGCGATTAGCGAATGGTTTATCTTAAATGTGACGTGATAAATCAGTTGTACGCAACATGTTTTGCACAACGTGCGTTGATCCAGAAGATTGTCTCTAATGAAGTAGATTAACCAATTATAACACTCTTGGAGTCATAACGCGTCAACATGGCCACCAAATTTGTTTAACATGGTATTGCAGTCACTCATAGCGGCAATTCGAAGGTTCAAACACGTAAAAAGTAAGAGAAAATCGATAGGCCCGCTCGTTCCTAAATTGGATATAATCCAAGTTCTCCCCCATAGCACTAGCCTTAGGGTTTTCGCCCCAAATTCCCACTAATGCCCGCCTAATAAACACGCTAATGAGTGATTAATCCATGCTCTCCTAAATCACACCATTAAAGAATCATTATCCGTAATGAGATGCTTTCGTAAAAGTCGACCGACTTTTTTTGTCTCGACGTTAGTGTATCAAATGTAATTTCGACCGCTTCTTCTTGGAGATCGTGACAGATCAATACACCGAAGCCTTGCATCCGTTGACAAAAGGATCACCCTAAGATGATCATCTCATGGCAACGTGTTCAGCTATAGCGGTAACCTCTGAATCTAGAGCCGCTTGGTCTCTTCCACACATGCCGATCATTGATCCAATCTCATGCGAGATTATATGTTCTCTGTACAGAGAAAGACAAGCTCCTGCGAAAACAGGAAGAGGGCCCTCCTCGACGAACAAAAGGAGCTCTTTGTGCAGGCCGTCACCTTCTCCTGAGGAGAGGTTTGGTTTCAAACCCGGGTCAAACAGGAGAAGTGCCTTGGATGATCCACATCTTAGGGTCAGGCACTGATGAGTACATTAAACTATCCCTCGAATTTCCTTTGCTGCCACATTCTCTTTCTTTGCTCTTCTCACTCCCACCCCCTTCTCGTCGTCTTCTTCGCCAGACCGACAACGCAAAGCAAGAGCAGTGACGTCAAGAGCGACCGAGATGCCGCCGCGTTGTTACCCAACATGCTCAAGAGCCCGCAACTGCGCTGGGCTTTCATACGTAAAGTATACGCTATCATCTCGGCGCAGCTCCTCCTCACGGCCAGCGTTGCCTCCACCGTCTTCCTTGTGAAGCCCGTGTCGCACTTCGTGGCCAAGACCTACCTGGGGCTCGCCGTCTACATCGCCCTCCTCGTCCTATCTTTCATACGTAAAAAACACATCTTCGCATCACCGCATAATGCGTTCGTGTGTTTGTCCGTTCGTTCATTTTCTACTGCTGTTTCGATTTTTCAGTGGATGTTTGTCGGTGAAGTTTCATCCTTCTTCTTTGTGATCACTCTTCAGTAATATTTCCGTTGTGCGCGTACCGAAAGAGATCCGGTGAACTTCGTACTCCTGGGGCTGTTCACGGTCACGAATGCATTCAGTTTGGGTCTCTCCTGCGCTTTTACGAAAGGTACCTCCACTTTTTTCGGCCTAATTCAAAAAAAAACCCCAAACTTTACACTTTGTCCCAATTATACCCTGAACTTTTTTTTGTCTCAAGAAAAACCTCAAACTTTTCTTCGAGTCCCAAATCTACACTACCGTTATAACTCCGTCCAATTAACGTTAGAAAAAAAAAAAAAAAAACAGAACCAGCAGCTGCGGCGTGGCCAAGCCTTCGCCGGTGGCCGCCGCCACAGCCGCCGGGAAGGAGCGGCGGCCCTCGCCTGGGCCTTCTCGAAGGCCGGCGACCCTCGCCGGCCCGGGCGAGTCGCCGGCGAGGGCTGCAGCCCCGATCCGGGGCGAGGGTCGCGCCCTCCCCGAGATCGGGGCTGCGGGCCCTCGACGGCGACTCGCCCGGGGCCGGCGAGGGTCGCCGGCCTTGGGAAGGCCGCCCTCCCCGGATCGGGGCTGCGGGCCCTCGCCGGCGACTCGCTCGGGGCTGGCGAGGGTCGCCGGCCTTCGGGAAGGCCCAGGCGAGGGCCGCCGCTCCTTCCCGGCGGCTGTGGCGGCGGCCACCGGCGAAGGCTTGGCCACGCCGCAGCTGCTGGTTCTGTTTTTTTTTTTTTTTTTTTCTGACGTTAATTGGACGGAGTTATAACGGTAGGGTAGATTTGGGACTCGGAGAAAAGTTTGAGGTTTTTCTTGAGACAAAAAAAAGTTCAGGGTATAATTGGGACAAAGTGTAAAGTTTGGGGTTTTTTTTGGAATTAGGCCCACTTTTTTCATCCGATTATCTTGATTTTTTTCCCGGGAATATTGGGTTCGACCAGTGAGGTCGTGGAACTTGCGGCAAGAATACCATGTCGTTCCGACAACGCTAATGATGACATGCCGAGGAAAAAAATACCATCTAAGCCATGTCATTTTGCGTTCCTGACGTTGCATTCCATGTTTGTTTGTTGTTTTGGGAGAGTTCATCTTTTGGCTTTTTTCTGAAAACTAAACCAGAATTACAGTAAATTTCCTGGCAAGTTTGTCTTCAATTGTTTTATGCTTTCTTTAATTTGTGTCATTACTCTTCCCCGGTGATGGCAAATGTGTAGAAACACAGTCCCCTTTTTTGTTTCGGGACTCTCTTTTCTCTTACCATTCGTAACTTCCTATGCATAGGATACAATGCGTGGCTTGTCTGATAGCTTTGGGATCTTTATATAAATGAGAAAGGAGTATGGATCAGATCTCATGTGGCAGCTAATGCCGTTGGACTTATCAATTCGTTTCTGCATTTTTGAAGTCCAACCGTGGCACTGAACAAGTTCTTGTTAGTGTAGTCATGAAGTGTTGGTCTTACTACTCTGAAAGAGGACCAGTTTTGTGTGGTTATCTCGGCCGATACGTTTGGTGACCTTGAGCTCACAGAATAATTCAATTCGATGAGGGTTTTTACTATGCTCGGAGAGTTGGCACGTGCTTTGCCAATGTAAATTTTCTTAATTGAAAAATGATAATATGTTGACTTACATCAAAAGCGTTTTGATGTTTGGTCAACTGTTCTTAATGAATATTCTGTAATTAGATTGTCTAACTCATGATGCCCTCAGTGGGGATGGAAAGAGAATTAATTACTGTAAACTGTGAAGATGACCGGTTCGTGCAACACAAATGTCGACAGACCACTTGACGTTAAAATGGTTGGATTAGCTGGTAAATATTGTTGGTAGGTAATGATCAAGTTCCAAATGGAACATTGAAATATACCTTTATGTATGTGTATATTGGTGTGAACCGCATTTCCATAACCAGTTTGTGGACATGCAAGTTCTCTGCTTAAGTTCTATCATATATTTTAACAGCTCATTAAGCCCTACGGATCAATTACTAGTTACTTCTTTTGTGTCTATGTCTAATCTTGAGTCCCATTTCTTCAACAGAAAGATCATTTTGGAGGCGGCAATTTTGATGAGTTTCGTCGTTGTCGAGCTTACTTCGTACACGTTCTGGGCTGTAAAAGAAGGCCATGATTTCAGTTTTCTTGGACCCTTTTTGTTCGCTTCCCTCCTGGTGATAATTCTTTTCGCTGTAATTCAGGTACTTAAGAAACATCCTTCATTCCTTTCCATACCTCCTTTTCTGGTTGCTCTCTGTCCTATTCTGCTAAAATTCTCACGTTGTGGACTATGTTTGATGAACAGATCTTCTTTCCTCTGGGGAAGTTATCCACGATGATATTTGGCTGCTTGGGATCGATCATATTTGCCGCTTTCATCGTATACGACACCAATATCTTGATCAAGCACTTCAGCTACGACGAGTACATATGGGCTGCACTTTCAATTTATCTTGATATCATCAACCTCTTCCTTAACCTTCTCGATATTTTCGAAGCGGCTGATAGCTAGAAAAACCGTTCGGCATGCCCTTACCCTTGATTTGTGTGAATGGTGATTTTGTCTTGTTTGAATAAACTGACAAGAGCTATGGTTTTCGAATCATGATATGGGCACGAATAAAGTTTTGCAAGCAGCTTTGATCTGTGATTGTGTAATGTAAGATATGTGAATGATCCAGAATGAACTAGATTGAGGTGGTATATATGCCTCTCGCACTTTACATGTGAACTCTTAGCTTCTTCATTAATCCATCGTACGCATGTTATTAGCGGTCGCTCGGTAGGCATTGACTGTCGAGCAAATAAACCAGACATACTCAAATTAACAAGAACCTATCTATCACTGTTGTTAAATATGTCTTGAATTTTATGTTCTCGGTCCGGTTTAACATCCGACCCGACATATTTTTGTGCGACCCGAAAATTGAGATTTAGTTCGCGACGTGGAGAGTTGGGCCGATAGGCCCAACTCATAGCAAGCGAACAAATGTCTCAGGGGGTTCGGGGGCTATGCCCCCGAGGAAATTTTTTGGGAGCACTATTTATACTGCGGCTAGGTTTTCTCATTGATATAGAGAGAATTTTGTTTCCGGAGAGTTTTGTGAGCCGTGAGCTTTTGTCGTTGTTTTCGACTTCTGAAAACTGTACTCTCTTTGATTATAGTGGAATTTTGTCTTGCCTCGCCCGTGGACGTAGATCACGTTGTGATCGAACCACGTAAATCCCTGTGTTCTGTGTTTGTTCTTCCGCATCTGTTTACAACAACTTTGTATATCAAGTTTCTATATCAGTCTTTGTTCAGTTAAAAGACATCATTAGAATCCCCAAAATTAAGCGAAGAGCCCTTAGAGTTCTCAACAATCAGCCGCTGTGGAAACTCTGTGCTTGCTTGGAAATCATAATTCTGAGGCACAACATGTAATAACATTATGATTTTTCTTGCCACTAAAGCTTAACTTGTTATGGGAGGCATCTGTTTGGCCCCCTTGCAATCGTCGGACGATGCTTCCAGCATGATAATCTCCTTCTAGATATCTGCTTGTTTGATTACTCCGAAAGAACGAACAAGAAAAATAACATATAGTGAGGATTTGACTTGGTCAGTTAGTCATATAGTTGCATGCTCGCACTTCGGTGAATAAGGATCATCGTGGATCTCAAAAAATTAGGTTATTAATATCAAAATACATGGGATAAGTATTTCTTACCATCTCAAATAAGTCTTGATATTTAATGACGGTACATTAATATCTTATTGTATTTATGCTTAGAACTTTTGCAGTTGGTTATATATAGATGCGAGCACGCGTCTGTTGTTCACTAAAAGCTACGTCATATATGGTGCCAATGACTTGATCAAGCGCTTCGGCTATGATGAGTACATATGGGGTTCGGTTTGATTGTATCTTCATATTATGAACACCTCCTCTTTCGGCGTCTCAATTGTTTACCGGACGACGGCCAAAACAACCTCTCAGCATGTTTGTGAATGATGAATTGGGTCTTAGTTGAAGAAACTGACAAGGGCTGAAGCTTTTGAATGGTGATAGGGACATGAATATAGTTTTGTAAGCAACTGTGATCTGTGATTTTGTATGAACAGGTCTGAGGTAATATCTATGCCATTGACACTTTACATGTGACCTCCTAGCTTCTCCATTAATTTTCGAAAGCTTGTTATCATTGGTCGCTTGGCAGCCATCGAGACCATTGCTATAACACCAAGCAACACATTATTTAGGGTGGATGTATTTGAATGAAAGCATTTTCCGCAAATTAGTTTTCTGAACTTTCACATATTTGGTTCGCTAAAAATGATCAGTCAACAGAAAACCATTTACGGACCAAAAATCTCAGTAAAATCAATTACTCCTCTTTTCGTTGCGTGTTTGATATGTTTTCGCATCCAAGAATCAACCAAAAACTAATGCATGGTCATATACTTTAGCAATTGAAAGCGCGATAATTCATATTTAATAGCATAGTCTCGAGCTGGAGTATCAACAAGAGGGCCCTAATTCATCTGAAGCTCAAGCATTCCCAGAAGAATAGCCCAAAGGACCAGCCACAACGATTTCCCTCGTAGAAGCGAATGAGCTGCAAGAAGATAACAAAAACAAGTTGATTTAATCACCATATGTTATGGGCATTAATTGATTTCTCTATATAGGCAGGGACATAATTGAAAAGGGACCAAACTGCAACCCTAGCTGGTGACATGAACTTACTTACCTTTGCTCACATCAATGTCTCCCGAATCCGGTGGTGAAGATTCATTTGCAAAAGGAATCCCTCGGTTTAAGCAATCCATTCCAAACGAACCTTCAAAATCAAAGGAAGAACGAAAACAAAACGTCTCAAAAAAATATTGTCGCTACATATGATGTTCCTTTACTAACCTGATCGATTGAGCCCTATGCCCTCTCGTTCCGGTGACCTAAATCCCGTAAGCGCGCGTTTTGACTAATGGAACATTTTACTGCAGAAAAAAACATGGAATTCGAGGGTCTTACATTCTTTAAAACAAGGCAAGGCCGAGACGTTGAGCAGATTGCTATAACCCTCTTCACAGGCGCAAGTGTATGAATATTGTGATGTTTGCTTGCACGACCCACCTCCGCAATCGACCCACATGCAGGCTGTGGAAACCTCAAAGCAACATGGGGAATAAGAACATCATTAACATATGATCATATATCAGAATCAAATTGAAGGATTGGGAGATTGAGATTATTTCCTTGCCTCGCTATAAGAAATGTACAAGTCTAGCTTAATAAGTAGAATGTAAAGAGTTGACAGAGAGTGAAGTCGATTACGATTAAGTATTGAAGGATGTCTGGCTCCACTTGCTTTCTCTTGAGCTGGAGAGGAAGCTCTTTTGCAAGAGGAATCGATCGTACCTGCGAGCGCACGAAATGAATCAAGGAATTATAAGCATCAAGTCTTTTTGTGTGATTGTCTAGGCTAGAGAGAGGTCGGGACGGCGATTTATTTTCGAAAATCATCCTAAATCCATGTAAAACTTAGAGATGTATCGTTGGTTAAGGTCGAAACCCAAGCATGACTCGTTCGATTATCACGACTTGAGTAGAACCTTAATCCATTAACAATTTATACATTCATGCATACATTCATATATCCATACATCTATATATGCATGTGTGTAATGCATGCCTGCATACACACACATGCATACATACATACCCACACACACATAGATGTGCACACATGCATGCATGTATGCATACATAATCCATATGCATGACCATACATACATGCATGTAAATGTGTACATTGCGTACGACCATACATCCATATGCATATATGCATACATATACATGCATGCACGCATACATACATACAACATACACACATATGACTACGGATATAACTATACATACATATGTACGCATGCATATGCATACATACATACTTGTTAAATGCAATTATTTGACCAGTACATGAAAGTACAACACAAGGTTCCTATTTAGTGCTCGATTTTTTAAATTTTATTGATACAAAATGAAAAAAAATGAAGTATAAACTCTTATGTGCGTAACAAAAATGTCTCCAGATGCACGATCTCATGCATGATCTTGCCTTGAAAATCGCAGGAGTTGGGTGCAAGATGGTCAATCTCAATGAAGGTAGCATTGGTGGAGGAATTCAATATGCATCATTTGCTTCACAATCCTCCTCGATACAGGAAGTAACCTCTTCAATTGAAACGACCAATATACGAATATTTGTGTTTGAAAAGGTGGAGGATATTTGAACAAGACTATTCTCCAAATGAATACTGTGGGGTTTTCTCCAAGTGTAGGCATTTTCGAATGTTAGTGTTAAGCTATGCAGATTTTTGTATCTTTCTTTCCTTGGAGAGTACTCCATTGAAGCACTAAGATGTCTTGATGTCTCTAAGAATATATCCATCAAGAGTTTGTCGAATTTGATCACGGATTTGATGAACTTGCTAACCATTAAAATCTATGGATGTGAGAAGCTTACCACACTTCCAAGAGATTTGAGGAAATTCATCAACCGTAGACACCTGTTGATTGATTAGTATGACTCATTGAGCCACATGCCATGCTGGTTGATCTACTTGTCTTCATTTCAGACTTTATCCCAATTCATCGGGAGAAGAACAGCAAAAGTGCCAAAAGTTGTGTACGGAGCTCACTTTGGTGCCAAAAGTGTCAAACGGATAACTTAAGTGCCAAAAGTTTACGCCGGCGATCACTTAAGTGCCAAATCGGAGAAAAAACGATCACTTAAGTGCCAACGGCGAGAAATTCTGACCAAATTTAATACGTGGCTTTTATATTTAAATTTTAATGACATGTGGCATTTCCACGTGTATAATTCAATTTTTTAAATATTTTTTTTCTGATTTTTTTCTTTTTTCTTTTCTTTCTTCTTCTACCATGGCCGGTGGCCGGAGGCCAGCCACCGGCCAGGGCCGGCCTCGCCGGGCGTTACCTTCCACCGGGCGAGGCCCGGCGAGGCAGTCGTGGCCTCGGCGAGGGCCGACCTCGCCGGATCTGGCGAGGTGAGCCCTCGCCAAGGCCACGGCGGCCTCGCCGAGGCGTCGCCTTCCTTCGGGCGAGGCCGCCGTGGCCTCGGCAAGGGCCGGCCTCGCCGGATCCGGCGAGGCAAGCCCTCGCCAAGGCCACGGCGGCCTCACCGAGGCGTCGCCTTCCTCCGGGCGAGGCCCGGCGAGGCCACCGTGGCCTCGGCGAGGCCGGCCTCGCCGGATCTGGCGAGGCGAGCCCACGCCAAGGCCACGGCGGCCTCGGCGAGGCGTTGCCTTCCTCCGGGCGAGGCCGGCGAGGCCACGGAGGCCTCGCCGGCCCTCGCCCGGAGGAAGGCGACGCCCAGCGAGGCCGGCCATCGGAAATAAGAAGAAAGAAAAGGAAAAAAAAAGAAAAGAAATGCCACATCAGCCTTCGGCGAGCTACATCAGCCTCCGGCGAGCCACATCAGCTTGAGAAATTAATAAAAAAATGCCACGTCAGATTTCCGGCAATGTGGCACTTAAGTGATCGTTTTTCACAATTTTTGGCACTTAAGTGATCCGTTTGAAACTTTTGACACCAAAGTGAGCTCCGTACACAACTTTTGGCACTTCTGCTGTTCTTCCCCCCAATTCATCAAACAAAAGATGGACCATGTAGCACCTGATGGCATGAGGAGAGTGGATGAACTGGATGGGTTAAATAGATTGACCGGATCCTTTACCCTTACAAAGTTATAGTTCCTTCAACTATCCCTAAACAAATATCACTTGAGAGAAAAACATATCCGTTCTTGAAATTGAATTGGTTGAGGGAGCAAGATGATAAAAACAAAACTGATGAATTGATCTTGTGGGAGAACCTCAGACCACATCCAAATTTGGCCTGTTTGAACATATTCGCTTGTATGGGTAGGAGTCCACCAAGCTAGCTTTCTTCCATCAGGAATCTTGTTGTCCTCATACTCCATGCATGCAAAGGATAGAGATACATGCTACCATGAGTGAACTCCCTTCCCATAATGTTGACTCTCGAAGGCTTGCATTTGATGTAATTCTTTCAAGAGATAAGTGATAGGGAATAATCTAACACTGCTCGCCCATTCTTCCCATTTTTGGAGAGACTGTTCCTCTTTGGCCTTGGGAACCTTAAAGGATGGTGGGGAAGAAGGTAACGGGTGGGAGCAGATTAGAATCATCGACCAGTATGCATGAATGCACTTTAATATGTATGTATGTGTGTGTACGTACGTACGTACTTACGTATGTATGCATGCATGCATGCATGCATGCATGTATGTATGTATGTATGCAGCATGCATGCATGCCTTTATCCTGATATGTTCTCACTAGTTGCTTTCTTCCCCATCATCCTTTAAAAGATTCCTATGGCCAAAGAGGAACAATCTCTCTAGAAGTGGGAAGAAGGGGCGTACAATATTAGAGCACCCGTCATTAATCTTTTAAATGGACTCCAATACATGCAAGCCCTCAAGAGTCAACGTTCTTAGGGAAGGGAGTTCACTCAAGGGTGGCAAGTACTTCCATCCTTTACATTCGTAGAGTTTGAGAACATCAAAATTCCTAATATATAATAGCTAGCTTAGCAAACTCCTATCATTATGAGTGAACATATTCAACAAGGCTAGATTTGAGTGTGGTATGAGATTCTCCCACAAGATCAATATATTGCTCTCACTTGTCTATCTTGCTGCTCCCTCGACTACTTCAACTTCAAGGAATTGAGACGTTTTTCCCTCATGCGATTTTTGTTCAGTGTCAATTGAATGAACTCCAACTTTCCACGAGTAATAGACCCAACCAATCTGTATAACCCACCTTGTTCATTTACTCTCCCCGCACCACTAGGTCCTTTATGGTCCATCTTGTGTATGGTGAATGAGATAAGATTTGAAGCAAAGACGAGTGGTTCAATTCAAGCGGCATGTGGTTCAACGAGTCCCACCCATCAATTAAAAGATGTCTAAGATTGACCGATTTCCTCAAATCTCTTGAAAATATGATGAGCTTCTCACACCTAGAGAGTTTAAAGATCAACAAGTTCACCAAATCTAGGATTGAATCAGGCAAACTCTTGGATTGGTTTTTGAAAGCATCCAAAAATCTTAAATGCTTCAATCAACTATTGAAGGAAGGACGAGCTTGCCTGGCAATGCTCGCCAGCACTGGGCAAGGCTGCCATGCCCAAATTGGGGCGCTGCAAGTAAGGTCATAGCGAGGTTGGCCTCGCTTGGGCCGGCGAGGCCATTGTGAGGCTTGGCTGGCCCATTGGCCGACGAGCTCCAGCGATCCTCACCGTCCACACCAAATAAATAAATAAATAAAAATTCAGAATTTTTTTTAAAAAAATAAAATTATTGTCCACATTAGTGCTGACCATGCTATGTAGCATGGTTAGCATCCACATCACCCATTGGTAAATTCTCAAAAGATTCCGGACTAAATTAGTCAAATTGAAAAGTTTAGAACTGAATTGGCATCCGTACAATAGGTTTATGATTTTTTTGGTAATTTTCCCTGTGTTTGTCGAATGTTACCTTCGTTGGTTTTCATGAATTAACACTGAAAGTCGACTACTAGAAGTTAAAGTCTCGAGAAGAACTTGGTTCTACATTCAAATTAGAAAGTTGAATAATAATAATAATAATAATAACAACAATAACAATAATAATAACAATAATAATGATAAATAGTAATAACAATAATGGTAATGATAAATGGGAAGCGTTTCTCTCTTGGTTTTGAGATCGAAACAACCTCTTCAGAATATCAGGATGCAATTGATTATTATTTTCGAATGCTTGATCGAAATTGCTAACCAGGTAATTTTGGGTGTGTAAATTCCACACACTTCAGTATACAATTTTCAAAATTAATCTTGATAGCGAATTAACGAAAGCAAATCGTGTAGTGACTGATGAAATCCCACCAAACATCATATAACGAAATGACTCTTCTGTACACACATAAAGCTGTCACTAGCTTTCCTAATTGAGGCTGGCGTTTTCATTTTTACTGGAATAATTACTCCGATTGCATTTAATGGAGTTGATGAATTACAAGACACTACATGCGCAAATTGCTAATTCTTACCACAGTTATAAACGTAACATAAACATGACATAAAACAAACATATACTTAGAATTTCGAAAGCGAAATTTAGGGTTCGTTGGTACGGCAGATCAGGCAACGCTCTTCTCTAGTGATTATTGTAATGCCATCATATGGACACACCGCTGGGGCTAAAGTTAGCTAGAGCATCGAAGGGTTTTCAAATTTCAAACTTACATTTCCAAACTGAATTATATTAACAATACATTTCAACAACCACACTGTTGAAGGTCGTGTAGCCTGCAAATCCCTAAACAGGCGGAGAACACGTGCTATTAAGCTAAAGCATGAGCTACAAATTCAGGCTATATTGTTCACTTCAGCTACCTAACTCAAGACACTGACGGGCTTGAACCTTTTATGTCCAGTTTCATTTCAATTTCTTGCAATTACTATTATGTCAAACGGTCAATGTACTATAGTGAAACTTTTGAACCTTGCTGATTAATTTCCTTAGGACATTAAAAATCAAGAGTTATCTATAAACATAGGATCAAGAGTTGGAAATTTCAAATTCATTTTTTTAATGATAAATATTACTTTTTATACAGATTAAAGATTGGAGGATCTACCTTACCAAAAAAAAAAAAGATTGGAGGATCTAGTTAAAAGCTTTTTTGAAACTGGCAGCTAGGCTACCTAGAAAAAAGCACATGAAGTTGGGGGGACTACAATTTACTAAAACTGGGTTTGACCAAGAGAAAGAAAATAACATATGGGTATCATTAATAACTTGGTCATGTTGTGTAAACCTAACCCAATTGCATCGAGAACAGATTAAGCAAAGAGTTAATGGCAAATGAACAGGTGAATATTGTCAATCTCATGCATTCCCAACTTCAATCAATGGAGCTAGTTCCAATGGACATAGGAGGATTCGAAACCTAATAACCACTCGTTCAGAAATGTTCTTCTTTATTTCATTTTTACTTTTTTTTTAAAGGAGTTGGTTTATTACGATTACTATGGCTGAGAGCAAATCCCATCGAAGTAGGTTCACTTCGATTTTACCAGCAAAAAGCATTACATCCTATCAAACAAAGGCATTGCTTTTCTATCCTCCATCATCCTAAAAATCACCTCTTTTTGCCACCCAAATCAGAAGAAATACTACAAGGCCTAATCAACCTAACGGTTGCGAAGAAAAAACTAGAGAGAGAACCTGAACTTACAGTTTGGAAGCGTACAAGGAAGGAACTTTAGAGGCTCCGTGCCACGACGAGGGGATTTTCTCCAACCAGGATCGCACTCGCATTCGTACAAGAAGATGGCGGAGTCATTCACTAAAGGCTTGCATTTCCCTCTCCCGCATGCCACTTCTTTGCACACGTCGTCTGAAAACAAGAAGCCCACAACGCAAAATGGATATGCATTTAGCAAAAAGAAAATATACAGCAAGAAAATAAAGGACAAAGGAAGACACCCATCAGCACAGAATCTGAAAACGAACAGAAAAACACAACATATCTAACGAATACCATGTAAAGGAGTGAGAAAAGGAGTTAGGGGAGACAAAAGGTCATTACATCCTATCAAACAAAGGCATTGCTTTTCTATCCTCCATCATCCTAAAAATCACCTCTTTTTGCCACCCAAATCAGAAGAAATACTACAAGGCCTAATCAACCTAACGGTTGCGAAGAAAAAACCAGAGAGAGAACCTGAACTTACAGTTTGGAAGCGTACAAGGAAGGAACTTTAGAGGCTCCGTGCCACGAGGAGGGGATTTTCTCCAACCAGGATCGCACTCGCATTCGTACAAGAAGATGGCGGAGTCATTCACTAAAGGCTTGCATTTCCCTCTCCCGCATGCCACTTCTTTGCACACGTCGTCTGAAAACAAGAAGCCCACAACGCAAAATGGATATGCATTTAGCAAAAAGAAAATATACAGCAAGAAAATAAAGGACAAAGGAAGACACCCATCAGCACAGAATCTGAAAACGAACAGAAAAACACAACATATCTAACGAATACCTTGTAAAGGAGGGAGAAAAGGAGTTAGGGGAGACAAAAGGTCGCTCGTTGTGGGGGTCACGAGAACAAAGAGTATGGCGAGGACGCGACAGAGGATGGCGAGCGAAGTGGCCATGCCTTGGAGGAGGAGGAGGACAGGAGGAGAGACACAGAGATTTCTGATATTTGAGTTTGATTTTGTCAAGTGAAAGGTGTCTTAGGAGTATAGGGTCGGTTGGGACTCAGGGACCCCAAATGTCAATTTAGCTCACCTACGATGCTTGCACAGTATTAATTGCTGGTCAGGACAGTTCAGAGTTGAGGTAGAGCAGAGATCCTCTACTGCAAAATCTCATTGAATTGTGGTGTTGATCTCAATATCATCCCCACTCGAGTTCAATAGCATTGGCGAATAGCTTTCTCCAAGGTTTTTGAAGAAAAGTAGGAAGAAGAAGAAAAAAAAAATAGAAGAGGAAGAAAGAAAGAAAAACTTTTTATACTAAAGGAAAATGACATAAATGGTTACTGAATTTTGATTTAATGTGTAATATTGTTCCCGAACTTTTATTTTGTTTAACGTGATCCCTTAATTTTAACTTAATATGCAATATTATTAATGTACTTTTAATTTGTTTAATGTGGTCCATAAACTTTTGATACATATTCAATTTAATCGTTAGATTTTATGAAAATGTTTGATATTGTTCTTGGACTTGAATTAATGGAAAGATAGTATTAGATATTTTCATATAAACCCCATTGAATAAATTAAAAATTTAGGGATGACATTGTATATTGGGCTAAAGTTTGAAAATTACGTTGAACAAATTAAAAGTTCAAGAACAACATTGCTTATTAGGTCAAAGTTCAAAAATCATTTTTATAATTATCCTTACATGAATAGCTGACCTAGGGACTCGAGAGAAATCATCAAAGATGGAAATCCACAAAAGTCTTTCATTTTTCTCATAATCTCCCCCAAGATTTACATATTTTAACCATAGAAGTAGTTTAGCAAAAATAAAATAAAAATTATGATCGTAGTATATTAATTATTTTGATTTATTATTCTTTTAAAAAAGCATATAAAGTCGTAGACATCAGGTCTAATGTATAATTAAACCCTAAACATTTAAATTTATGCAATCAAATTCTAAGTATTTTTGGTTCTATTGCAATTAACTCCTTCTGGCAATCCATCAAGCAAGTTTGCAAATGTCACACACTGAAATCCGATATGGTATTTTTAATATTTCTTTAGCATATTGTGGCGCTGATGTGGCACCACGTTAAAAAAGAAAAATAAAAGCAAAAAGTTTGGACCAAAATAAGAAAAGCCCAGAAATACATGAAAAATCAAAGAAACCGGGTGAGGGCCTTGCGGTGGGTGATGGCCTTTAAAGTTTGGGGTGGTGCCTAGAACTCGACAAGGGCCAATGATCCTCATGCAGTGATAGCTCTACTATCAGCCACCATCGCACGAGTATCAACTGACCCTCTCGAGACGGTCGCGAGGGTCGATTGACCTTCGCTCAGTGGTTGGCGTTGGAGCCAGCATCATGCGAGGACACGCGAGCCCTCACCAATATGCAAGCCAGAGCTAGCAGGCCATTGCTAATGGTAGGGGTTGTGTCGGTGACGAGGGCCGGTGATGTCGGCCCCTAGCCCCCACACCCCCCTCCCCTTCTTTCTTTGTATCATTGATTTTTGAATCTTTTTTTTTAATGGCCCTTTTTTGGTTTTTCTCCAATTTTTTTTTTATTTATGTGGGTTTTTAATAAAGTTTTTTGTTTTCGAATTTTTCAAATGCGGCGCCACACCCGCACCACATCAACGCCACCTATTGAAAAATGAACTGGAAAACGTCATGCCAATTTTTTTGGTTGCAAGTTTGCCGGAAGTACTAAATTACACCCAATAAAAACTATTACAATTTGATTACACAAAATTCAAACCTTTCGGTGCATTTTTCCTGTCACAAAAAAATCAACTGAATTTCGTCTATGAATGAAAGCTCCTTGCGACAAATTTAGGTTGTTGCTCGTGCATACAACCAAAATTTCGATGCTTTCGGTCATTTCGTCACCACAACGTCGCACGATTTCCCTAGTCATTCACTCTTGGGCGACGAAAATCTTGTTTCGTGCATATAAAGATCGCCTTTAGCAGCGAAATTTGCGACTATTGAGGTATCTACCGACGAAATTGAATAGTTTGCTAGAATGTCATTCTAACTACGTAACTTGTTTTGCCGCCAACGTCGCTGAAAGATGATATTAGTATAGCCTCAAATTATTTCACACCATCTATTAGAAATACAATTATAGAGGCTACTTCGAGTAGCATGTCAAATTCATATTTTCGAAAAAATATGAATATGACATACACGTAAGTTTCGATCCCAAAAATGACACGAGTTAAAATATTTTGGGTTAATACCACAAAAAACTTCAAACTGGTACACCTGTGACAATTTGACCCCAAACTAATTTTTTGACCACAAAAAATCCTAAACTAGTAGACTTGTAACAAATTTACCCAAAACTAATTTTTCGACCACCAAAAACCCCAAACTAGTACATTTGCAACAAATTTACCCTCAGTTAGTTTCCGTTAAATTGGATAATACCACAAAAAATCACAAACTGGTATACCTACGACAAACGGAGGGTAAAACATAAAACAGGTACATCAATCAACTGCCGCGTGTCATTTAATAAAACAATTTGACAGTAAAATTTAACGGAAATAAACTGAGGGTAAATTTGTCACGGGTGTACCAATTTGGGGTTTTTGGTAGTCAAAAAATTAGTTTTGGGTAAATTTGTTATAGGTGTACCGGTTTGGGGTTTTTCGTAGTATTAACGCAAATATTTTATCTATAAAGTAAGACTCCGTTTGTTTCGCGAAAAATGAATGATTTGGAAAATATTTTTCTAAAAATGATCACTTGTCCCGCTTAGTAAATGGAACCTATTTTCATTAGAGACAACAATTTGTATGTAAAAGCTTTCGTGAACGATGAAAATATTTTTCGTTCATTTATTTTTGTAAGAGATACAATCGATCATTTTTATGAATATATTTTTCGGATCATTCATTTTCGCGAAATAAACGGAGCTTAAACCATGTGAAATTATAATGCTAACATGAGTTGACACGAGCTATAAATACGATGCGGAGATGCTACCACTATGACATGCTAATATTAATTACAGAGTTGAAATATAACTCTGTCATCTGATATGGTCAATGTAAGGCCGATACAGAATCTGATTATGTCCTATACACATCATCTGAATTTTCGAAATAGATGTTCTCGCATTTACTATGTTATGTGTAATTTGTGGTTCTTTAGAAAAATATGACGAGAAAATTATGAAATACGGTTGGCACTGGCTTTGCTAGTTCGTTCATTCGGTAAACCCAAATGGCCCGCAGGTTGAGCCTGGCAACGAGCTGGGAATGGTGTTTGGTAGCCCATTATAAGAACAGGCCGGCCTGGTGCGAATCACATTTCATTAGCAATTTGAAAAGTTAATGTCGCAACCCGCCATTTTTTCTTAGAAGAGGGAAAATGGAGTAGCCTGCTACGCGCTAAGTTTAGGTCTAACACTTAACTCGGGCTCTCCCAAGTCCATATCATATCATGACTTGTGGTTTAGGTTTTTAACCTGCAAGTGATTTTTATCTAGGAGTCACCACTAATCAGTTTATGGTAGGTCGATTAGACACCCAAATAAAGCAGTGGGAGAATTGCCTTACTTCAGCGAACCAGAGATTAAATGAGTTCGGGGACTTGGTTACACTAGTTGAGTGACTAGTATCCTTTCGGTATCTTTCATCTTGTTCATTTCAGAAAATATTTATCAGACAGTTTGGATTGATTTTAGGACCTATCTCCTGACATGTGAGGTGATCAAGCGAGTGCATAATCATAAAAAAATTAACAATCAAACTAGATATGCAACCTAGGGTTCTAACCCTAAATAGGGAGACAACATTCAACACATGACAATTTATGCAATCATATACTAATTATAAATAACATGCATAATAATAATACAACAGTAGTAAGAATAACATGCAAAATCCTACTGTATAGCCTTATAGGCTTATCAGATTTAGACATAATTATTAATCAAATAATTTACATAATTTAAAAAATATTCAAAAATACTAATTTCTAAACTATTTTCTAATTTTAAAAAAATCGATTTTTTTAAAAAATAATATTTTTAAAATTTAAAATAATAAAAATATTAAATATAATATTAAACCGAGTCAAGTTGGTGGATCTGGATCGGGTCAAAATCGACCCAGGTCAACGGACCGACCCAAATGCGTTGACCCGGGTCGGGGGTCCACCCAAGTCCTAAACCGGATCAGGCCTGGTCCGATGGAAATGACAAAACAAAACTGGTTTGACTGGGTCAAATCGTCCTTGTTTGGCATGCAAAACTCGGCCGGGGCCAGCTCCCGTATGTAAAGGCAAACGAGAGCGTTGGCCGGGCAAGATCCGGCGATTGGCCGGCCATCTTGCTTGGTCATTGGCCTTGGCTGCCTCAACATTTGGGGCCGGGGCGACCTTCATCTGGCCGACTGAGGTGGCCGACCGAGCCTCGATCGGGTCTCATCGAGCCTAAACGTAGGTCGGGGCTTGGCCGGCCGACCCAGGCCAACCTTTAGGCTCCCTTGGCCTTCGACGACCACCACAAGGCCATCCCCGAAGACCATAGCTCACTGGACGACCCCTACTCAGTGAGTCGAGGGTCAAGAATAATAAGCCTCTCTTAAGCATTTCGTCGAACACTTGACCTGCACAGCTTAGACAAAGGAATTCCGACCTATCTTGAGACCTTGGCCTACTCCTGTGGCCACGACTTGCCTCCGACGACGAGTATGGATCAGGAGCAGGATTGGTATGGGTCGGGATTCGCGCGAAACGGCCGGTGCGAGTCTTAGCCAACCTGCACACAAAAAATAGGGGAAAACAGGTGCTAGGGAAAGCTTACCGGTCGGGGCTGCTTCCGGGGGGTCGCTGGTCGGTTTACGGGCAACGACGAGGCTGGCTGCTTCCCTTTCCGATCTATAAACACTGAAAGCTTACTATTTTACTCTCTATTTCTCTCAAACTCTCTCTAAATCTCTTTGTCTCTCTCTGTGGAAATTTTTTGGTCGGGCCCTATCTCTCTCCTCTTCGTCGGCTTATATAGTAGCCGTTAG